AATAGATAAAAGTAATAACGGTTAAGTAAAAATTAATGTTGCAGGATTCATGTAATGATGAACAATCACAGACAATATTAGTTCCTCCGGCGTTGATAGAATACGTTATCATTATAACTTCCACAGCTAGCTTTAAATAGTATAATCAGCTAAAGACAGTTAAACACCAAAGAAGACCGTCTGTCTTCTTCAACTCTTGAAGACGAGCAAGCCATCCGCTCACGTCTGTTACTCTCCACTCTCGTCCATTTCTAGACGCTATTTCTCATTGGTCTCGTCTTTTCTGCACTGAGCTATGCTCATGGACCTTATAAGAAATAGACTAACCCAAACGGGTTTTCTCCATTGTCTGAGGCGTTGCCGGCTGTCACCTTGATCACATCCGGAGGAGTAGGGACAACCTGCAGAAATTTAACATTGGTTGCCTATTGCAGCATGTATGATTGTCAAGAAAAAGCTGGTTGTAGCGCCTCATTCAACAAATTAAAATTTCTCCATATTTTTATTTTTGAAATTGAGATTGATTTTTAAAAATTTAGCATATTTATCAAGCATAATTAATGTTCCAAATAATTATAAAGCTATTGCATGCTTTCAGGACTGGATATTTTTTTAGCTTTTCCTCTGCTGTAAGGAAATTGGTAACTACTTCTTTTAGAAAATAATATTTTAAATCTGAACTAATAGAAAATTTCAAACAAGCAATTTTCTCTTGCAATTTTAATGCTTTTTATTGGTCTAAATAAGTAAAAAATACTAAAATATTTAAAAACGAATTTTTGAAAGTTTTGTTTAAAATTCTAAATTGTGCTGCTTTTTTAAAATTATAGATGAGTATTATAGCACAATTCCAAAAAGGAATTTTATTTCAATTATATTTCATAATACATCATAGTAATAAACACTTTTGACACCTTAAAAATTTTTATACATTTAATTCTAATATTAAAATTGTATTTAACCGTAATATTTAATTTTGCTTGTATTTTATAGTGATTATTTTTTTTAATTTATTTTTAGCTCCGTATAAGATTTTTTAAATTTACTGTTAATTTAATTTATTAGCCCAAAGGGGCGGTAGCCTAGAAAGACTGTTAGTTTCGGAGCGGCATTTTGCACTGTTTTACTATAAATGTCTGTGTTTCCTTGCAAATTGTTGTTACCAAATATTATCTCCCTGTATTATATGTAAAGAAATTAAATAATGAAGAATCTGCATGAATACTTGTTTGTTTCTTGCACAGTAACAAAAACGATGGTATCTAGAGCCATCGAATTTTGAATAATGTAATCCTCCACCTGAACATGCGCATCTGGACGGCCGAATTTCGAATTTGTTTTAATCTATTTCATATTTTGTAAAACTTTAAAGAATTTTTGATTAGCAAACTCAACGAGTTCAGAGCGGGCACTGTACAGAAAATAACAGTTTTATCTCCAGTGCGGAAATTCTAAAGATATGCTGTTTTCAAATGTATGTGGTTTACGGGTGAAGAACATGGTATTTAATAAATATAGGTAACACACAAAACTTTAAAAAAAAAGTGTGCTTCTAGATTTTATTTTATCTTTTTTTTCCCCTTCATTACGCTCAGAAAATTTTATGCTCTGAATTTTATGAATTATTAAAATAACTAATCCGCTTTAATGTTAATAATTTAATGATCATATAATTAAATAAATATGATCGTTTTGTAATGTTATTATAGCTTAGAAAATCACTGCCTGAAAAATGTTCATTAAATTAAAAAAGAGTTATCAGATCTTGTTTAATTTTACCTTATTTATTTCAAAGCATTGCGTACTATCAACCTTATTTAATTTTACTTTATTTGTATGCAAAATTAAGTTCATAAATTTTGTGCTTAGAGTTTTTACCGTTTTACCAAAGTAAAGATGTTTGTACAAGAATTACGCGTGAAAACAAAATGCGCGAAATGCAGTAAAAAGTGCTTTAATGAGATATATTAAATCCTATTTGGAAAAAACTGTGGCTTTCATAATCTCATCACTATACAACGTATCACATTTAATAATTAAAAAGAGTTATGTGACACAAACGCCATAGGTTTCAGTGTTAAAGTAAACCAGATCGTCCCTACTCTTTCTTGCCGACATGTCTGTGATGCGGGCCCGGCCCACTGGGTTAGTCTATCTCTTATAAGGTCCATGGCTATGCTGGGATGACGTCACTAGGTTGGTAATTCGCTAAGTCAGCATCGGTCGTCGATGATCTCCACATGTATGCGTTAATATATATATATATAATATATATATATGTACATGTTATATATATATATAATGATAGATGTAAAAGAAACATACAATTAGAGCCTTAGAACTTCATACCGTAAACTTTTTAGACTATCACTAATTTTTAGATATATTATATTTGTGGTTTTCATGTGAGACAGATCCTTTTCAAGGACAAAATTATTCTGAAATATTTTACCAAATTTCATAGATTTATCCAAAGTAGGAATTACTAAAATAACTCCATTTCAGTGCTCAAATTTTGCCGGAGCCTGGCTCCGGTACTTCTTAATTTTTAAGATAAATTACAATTCTAGCCAGAGCGTACCGGAGCCCTAGGTAAGATGAGCTCCGGTACTTCTTTTTATAGAACTGAACCAAAATTTCAAGGGGAAAAAATTTAGAATTCCTAACATTTTATTTTAACGATAAAATTTTATTAAAAATCGCTTATTAAATTTTAATTTATCTCTTTACATTTTATTTAATTTTAATTATTTAATTACTTTAATCTGTAATTATTAAATTATTTCAATAAATAATATTTAATTAATTGTCTAATAATTATCAATTAAATTATAATTAATTATAATAATTATTGATTAAATAGCAATTTATAAGCATTAATTACATAGCTATTAATTAATTTGATACTAATTAACTATTTAATTTTTTTATTATTAATGAGTTTTTAATAGTAATTTTATTACTATTAACTCTTGTTCCTCTTTGCTGACGATCTTCCATAGAGCTCCGGCACTTCTAATTTTAGAAATTAAGCCCTGCTCCATTTTCTGATCAAAATCTGAAAACAAAGAAACAAACTGAAAGAAAAAAAAAGATTTTATAAGCTGAGCCTTTAAATAAATTTGGAATGACAGGCTAGAAGTTGAAATCTTTAGATAAATGAATAAATTTGAATGAAGGTGGGAAAACTCCAATTCAGTATCAGTATAAATTGAAGAAAATCTAATTCTGCAACTTTAGGAATTGGTGGATAATTTTAAATAACAGAAATTAATAACTATTGGACTGACACTATTCATGAATGGCAGTTTTTTTTAATTACTTTTTTACTAACATGATTTTATATTCTTAAATGGAAAATTTAAAAAAAAATTAATATTGCACAGAGCAATTCAAAGAAACTGTATAATTAAATATGTTTTAAATGGTTGCTCATAAATCAATAGTTCAGAAGTAGGCTTTTAAATTATGACAGTTTGTATGTAATAAATCCTGTAAGAATTTTGTAATTTTTCTGCAAGCTTCATAGAAAAATGTTTTCCATTACAACTGTATTAAATGTAAAACATTCAACCTCATATTATCAAAATGACGTAAAGTATCATTAAGTAAAATGTTGTGGGACTGTGTATAGATATTATTAAAGATAGCTGAGCATGCTGGGGATTTCAAAAATAATTTGTGAAAGATTTTTTTTTTTTTACATGAATAATGTTAGGTTTAATGGAATTCATAATTCATAAAATATTTATAAAAGTATTTTTTATTATATTTATCTGGTTTATTGAAGCTACTGCTTTCCAGCCAGTGTGTCATGAGACTCTATAAGGAATATCATAAAGTTTTTTAATTTAAGTGAATATTCGAAAATTTACTCTAGTTCTCAACTTTTAATTGCACAAATCAGAATTTCTGTGGAGAAATTAGGGAAATGAGTTAGAATTAGGCAAATGCTTCTTCAAGATGATATGCATGTGATCAATCAGACCATCTTTTGGTAAAACCTGTTAAAAAATTAAATACAAACATTGCATTAGTAAGTGAGTACTAGTGTAACAGCAACAACAACAATAATAATAATTTAAAGTACAGATCAGTACAATGAATAATCACTGGTGCTCACTTAAGTGTGTGTTCAGTTTTCATCCATTGAAAAAACTGGAAATCATGGATTTAAGGTACAGCGTCTGCAGAGCCATTCAGTGCTCGCCAACCTGAAAGGGTTAAAAATTCTTGAATCTGGCTCACGAGAGCTCTTTTCTGTAGCTGTACAGGATTCCACTCCCATGAGACAGACTCAAGTTTTGTTTCCAAGGCCAAGCCATCTCTCACATTGCACTTCTGATTCGACCCATAGATGTCACCAAAAGTATTAAAATGTGAAAGCATTGAACAGCAGCAAACAATAAATCAATCTGCGGCCACCACAAAGATATGAAATTTGTTAAAACAGAACAAAATAATTTTGCTTATTGAAAATGGGAGATAGTTTTGTGTGATGCTTTCAAACTGCACTTAATATTTTTGTAAAACAAATCCCAGTCTAAGGCTGAATTTTTCCTAATTCTGGGAGGGGAAGATAGTTTAGAAATATAATTCTCTTTATTTTCTAATGAATTTCCAACTTAAAAATCAGCAATAAAAGCTTTTTTTAAAATACTTTTTTTATATCATAATTAATTTTAGTAGATGTCTTCTTTCTAATATAAAGTTTAAACCAAGGAATGTTTAGTTATTATAAAACAGCCTCATAATTTTTCTCAGTTTTATTTCCTGTTTCATATTTTGAATTAGTGAACTAATAAAAAAGGTATAAAAAAGTTCATTTTACTCAAAGTTAATTTATAGCTCTCTTGAATTTATTTATTAACAAATTTAAAGCAGGTTCTAACTGAAGTCCAACAATAATTATATTTCAAAGAATATTTCTTCATTTTTTATCTAGTTAGCAAAATTTTTATCAAATTTTGGAATTTTTTCATGTTGATTTTTTTTCTCAGGTTCGAATGAAAATTAAAACACCTACAGATTTTGAATGGCTCAAACAAGCCCGATTTTATTATTATTTGGATGAAAATATGTGTCTTGTGAAAATTACTGATGTTGACTTTATCTACCAAAATGAATTTTTAGGTTGCACTGATCGTTTAGTTATTACTCCTTTAACTGACAGGTAGCATATTGCTTTTTCAAACTCTTAATTTTACTTTATTTAGATGCTTCTATATTTTGCATCATATTAAGTTACAGCATTATTGTGTTCATCATGTATGTTGTTTGGCAAACTGCCAACCTTGAAAGTTGTAGAGTCATTAAGTTATTTTGACGCAGGAGACATGAAAGAGAATAATGCCCTCACCAGGGCTCGAACCTGGACCTCTCCAATCATATGCGACCTTTTAAAGAGCAACTAGGGATAAGGGGACCCAATTGCCAAATCCTGCTGGTGAAAAATTATCATCCACCACCTTTCAGTTTGGGCGCCACTGGTATATTTTGCAGCAGAAGATGTGAAAAATGTATAATGCCCTCACCGGGACTCGAACCTCGACTTCTTGAATACTTGCCAAGTGTTTTACGGTTACACCACGAATGCATGCAGAAAAGAGGAAGGAAATACTCATAAATAAAAGTTATTATGAGTATCTGTGGGATAAGAGCTTTAATTTACTTAAAATCATAAAATACATTGATTATCAGCATATAACAGACAAAGCTATTTAAAATAATCTTAAATTTGGTGCATTCTAGGAAAGAGAAGTCAGTGTTAAATAAAATCCATCCCCCCTGCCCCTGTTTTAGATAGCATTGAATACATTTAGAAAATTTTTCCATTAAAAAGAACTTTGACATCCATTTTTCGCTTAATATGGATTATAGATTGTGATTTTATATCATTTGTTTATTCTGCTGAGAAAGAAGTTTTTTCTGTAACTTTTCTAACTTAAAATCAGTTTTGTAAACTTTTTTGAAGAGCGTATATTTAGTTTTTAAAAATAATGTGGTTTTAAAATATATTAATCATCATTGTCTTTGCTCATCATCATCATTTAAACTTTGATTGATAAGTGTAAATCTATGAATCTGGATGTTATGAATGGTAAAAAATTTTTCTATGTCACTATGTTACATAGAAATTCTGTTTTATTGAGCAAATGTAATATTCTATGTTATTCTGTGAGGGTATTCTTATGCAGGAGGACAGCTGATGTATATTGTCAGTTTTAAGATTTATTATTTATGATACTGAATTCCAGTTACTAAACTAACAAAATGGAAATATTTATAGTGAGTTAATTAAAAAATAAATGCAAGAGCTAACTAATGTAACATCTGATTAGTGTAGAAGCTCAAATTATCATAAATATATTAGTATAACAACGTAATTGTTTACAAACTTATGTTGGGAAAAAATATTGAATTAAAATCAAATAGTATGAAAAAGTGTAATTATCAACTGAGCATCAAAACATGTGTTGGATTATAATTTATTATGCTTATTATAAGAAAAAAATTCACTGGATCCATTCAATAATCATTCCATGTATTAAATTTAAAATAGTAACTAGCACTCAGCTGCAAACTGAATATAAATTTGAAATTGAAGGGATAGATGTCTGACTGTTACTTCTTTCCATTAAGTCAAATATTACATGTAAAAAGGCACAAAAACATTCAGGGCAAATTATAAATGTATCCCAAATTTATATATATGAGGTATAGAATTTTTTTTATGCAGTTCAGAATTATTACTTTTAACTAATACAGGGTGTTTATAAAGTCCCGGACCCATTTTGATGTTTAATAACGCATAAAATAATAAAGATAGATTAAAATTAATAACATAAATGGTTAGATAGACTCAAAGTTTCATGACCCTTGTCAATGAACTGAAGGGGTGTGCCCCCTTCGTCGCAAGGAGAATATCAAGTGGATATTCCATTTCACACCAGGTACCGGCAAGCATGTCGGCATCCATAGAGGGTATTGCGGTTTCAATTCTGGCTTTTAGGTCATCAATGTTTGACACTCTCCTCCTCTAAACATTGTCCTTTACAAATTCCCAAAGAAAAAAGTCCATAACAATGCAATAGTTGCCAAAAACAAAAGAGAGAAAAATGCAATTAATAAGCAGACGATATTTAGAAAAGTACAGATATTTAGACAGGAAAATGAAATTATCTGAAATTAACCACACGCGCAGACGATATTTACAAAAGTAAAGATATTCAAACCCTGAAAAGGAGAATACATATATAAGTTATTCCATCAATAAATGCCATAAGTTTGTTTATATCTTCATTATTTTATGAGTTATTAAACATCAAAATGGGTCCGGAAATTTATAAACACCCTGTAATTTATACAGAAATATGTTATGTTAGTAATTTTTTTTACTTTAGCTTCTATTGTTAAAAAAATTGATGTTGTATCCCATTAAATTAAATAAGCTTTTTATTTACATTATAATTTACCTAATTGCACAAGAACAATTATATATCTAATTTTTTTATAAAGTTTTGCTACTAAATTGATAACAAAACATGTACGTGTTTTCCATTTAAAACAAAAATCATTGCTTTAGTAATTTTTATCTAAAATTGGTAAAAAAAAAAAAATCTGATTTTCTGTATGTTAAAGTAAATGCCAAAATATTTTAACTGTGTAAAATTATGGCAAAAATATTTTAACTGTGTATAATTATGGCAAAAATATTTTAACTGTGTATAATTATGGCAAAAATATTCGAAACTATTAGGAAAACTGAAGTAGTATTTGCCAAAATGTCAGTTATTTTGTATGAGAGCCCCTTGAGTTTCCATTAAGTAATGTAGTGTTTTTCAGGTTATTTAAACTAACAAATGAAGTTCAGAAAATTTATCCTTTTACTTGTTTTGCTGATAGTTATCTGTCATTTCTAAATATCGTTCATAAGTTTAATTTAAAAGTATATGTTACAAAAGAGCTTATTATTTAAAATGTATCAAGACATGTTATGATATATTTGTATGAAATATAAATAAATTCTTTGTTGCACACTTTATATTTTATTTAGGAATGTTATTTTAAAATTATTTTTAGAAACTAAATTGCTAATTTAAAGTTGCATACGTTTCTCCTCTCTGTTTTTGTACAACTATCAAAGACCTTATCTTTAAATTCTAAAAAATATGAATTTAATATCTCTATTCTTTTTTTATTTTGCATAGGTGTTATATTACTTTAGCTCAAGCCTTAGGTATGAGCATGGGAGGTGCCCCAGCAGGTCCAGCTGGAACAGGTAAAACTGAAACGACTAAAGATATGGGAAAAGCACTTGGAAAATATGTAGTAGTTTTTAATTGTTCTGACCAGATGGATTTCCGAGGACTTGGCCGTATCTATAAAGGTTAATTTTTTTTAAAAAATAAATTTTTGTTTGTTTGCTTGGTGTCTGCAAAGATAATTTAATTTTTATTGCTACCTTTGCGAATTACATTATCTATTAGTTTAAGTATGTTATTTTTTTTTTTTTTTTTAATTTTATGCCCTCGAAATATAAATGCAGCACATTCAGTTAGTATGTTTAGTGTATCATACTGTTATAAAAATAGAGAGTCAGTTGTATCTATTTTATCTGAAATGCTTTGCGCCGAATTTGAGTAATTAAAAAAAATAATAATTTTGGAGATAGCATTAGTAGTATTTCCAATAATTAAATAGTAGCAAATATGATATGTTTATATTTTTAAATATAATTTTATTGCATCTAAAATATCTGATAAAATTTTGCTGTAAATTATAACTTTTGCTTTAAATCTGTTTTCTGATTTAAAAGTGTATGAAATAACATCAAAATAAAACTAAGTAAATTTATGGCAAATATTGATATAGTTAAGAATTCAGTTTTCAATATTATTGTGTAGTGCTTTTGATAGCTGGTAAGAGAATGAACAAAGGTTATTCAAGAAAGACATCACAAAATGAGGTAATGTTTTAAAGGTGCCTTCTTGACCTAACAAATTAAATGTACTGTGACATATTATGTTATAGTAGTAGGAAACATAAATAAAACTAATTCTTTGTTGCATCTATTAAGGAAAAGGTAAAGCTGGAATGATCAGTGGAAGTAATTACTTCTTTTCTTCTCCATTCTGCCCTATCATAAAATTGTTAAGCCTTATCATTTTATGCTTTTTATATAATTTTCTTAAGATATGCTGTTTTTAAATATTTTGTGATATTTCTGCTGAATTGAATTTTATGTGGTTTATGCGCAAAGAGCCTGATATTCAGTAAATAAAGGTAACACACAAAACGTTAAAAAAATCTGAAAACTTTCAGATTTTATATTACTCCAAAAGAGACGTCTGAAAACTTTCAGATTTAAAAAAAAAAAAAAAATTATTTAGTTTTTGCAGTCAAATAGTCAAGAAGGAAGAAGCATGTCTTCAGTACTCTTAACTGCTCAAATTTAATGTTTTAAATAATTACACATTGATGAGTCTATTTGTAGCATTAAAATATGAATAATTAATGTGCAGATTTTCAAAAGTTTTAATTTTTTTTTAAGTAAAAAGAAATTTTGAGGTAATTCTTTATTAATTCAAAATGCTTAATACCTACTTCAGAATGCTTTATTAGTTTCACGGTGTTTTCTTAATCTAAATTTACAGTTAAAATATTTTCTTAAAATTTACAAAAATTATTCAGTGATCATATTACCAATTTAGAGACTTTGTTAACTTTTTACCCCCCCCAAGGGCAGGCACTTTATTCTTCAACATTGGCCACTCCTAAAGCCGGAAGAGGTGGCCATTTTTATTGTGAAGGCACCCAATAGGCAGCCACTGTGACCTCCAATGAAGAGACGGACAGTTACAACCGTGCCTTCTGCCGGATCCGAGCCCAGGCGCTTCGTTAGTGCAGTCGGATTTGCTAACCACTATACCATCTGGGCGGCGACTTCGTTAACTACATGCAGCAATTTTGAGTTTTTGTGACATCCTTTCAGAAATTTTATCATGTACCATGGATAGAGAACTACTGTCATTAAGAAATCCTCCTCGGAGGTTGACTCAGGCGAATGCCTGGGAAGTACTGGTTAGTATCTGTACCTAGGCAATCGCAACCACGGTGGCATAACAGACTTCACAGAAGGTTTGAGGGCTCTCGGGACAGAGTAAGGCTCGGCAGGGACCGTACTGGTACCGTCTTGTCTGCCCTTGCTCTGTGAGGTCGCAACATTGTGAATTGATCAATCGGCAGGGCGGCACTTAATTTGGATTGGCACCTATTAGGACAGAAGCTGTCCCATTTCATCAGCGTTGTCATAAAGAATTATATATATTATCATACATACCTATATTAAAAAAAAGCATTCTATTTTTTAAATTTTAAAGATGTTAAAAAATGTAGTTAAGAATAAGCTAGAATTTTTTTTTTTTTTAATTTATAAAAATCTAGTAATGATTTGGTTTAATAAATCTAGAAGTTGTTATGATTTATTATAACAACTTCTAGATTACTACCAAGTGAAACTGTCACTTGGCAGTAATCGAAAATCACCGATTGGCTGTCTAAAATCTCTGATTATTTGAAAAACTAAATATGTAAAATATGAAGATTTATTTTGTTAATGTTAAATATTATTTTTATGTAAAAAATGTTTTTAAAGCACAGTGACATAGCCTTAAAAATTTTTTTAACAGTACGTGAAGTTTTTTAAAATAATTTTTGAACTTATTTTTTTCAAAAGTAAATAAAGGTTGATTCTACTGATGTTAAATTACCAGTTTATTACATATCAAATATTGAATATTAGTTATTAACCTAAGTTTGCTATTTTGAATTTAAATTATGCAGCTTATGGTTTTGATTTTAGGCCTTGCTCAGTCAGGCTCTTGGGGCTGCTTTGATGAATTCAATAGGATTGAACTACCAGTGCTATCAGTAGCTGCTCAGCAAATTCATATTGTTTTATCTGCCAGAAAGGAAAAAAAAGATGAATTTATTTTCTCAGATGGGGATACTCTTGGATTAAATCCAGAATTTGGACTTTTCATTACTATGGTATTTTTGCTTCATATATTTCCTTTTTATTTAAAAAGGATCATTAATTTTGAATCAATTTACAGTTACTTGCTTTGCAAAAAGAAATATCAGAAAAATAAATGGATATTTTATTTATGTCTTCTCCCATCTTTTTCCTCAAAAAGTTATGAAGTATTTTAATTTTTGAATTTATTCTTTTCTATAGAATCCTGGATATGCTGGAAGGCAAGAACTTCCAGAAAATTTAAAAGTAATGTTTCGAAGTGTTGCCATGATGGTTCCTGATAGACAGGTATATATTGCAAAGTCTGTGTAAATAATGATAATGATAATAATCATAATAATAAACTGCAATAAATGAAATTTCTGATAAAATTGTAAGTCTTTGCACACTTTTATTTTGAGACTGTCATTATAAAACTAAAAAAATTATTAATTTCTCTTCTCTAATAATATATAATTAAAAATTATATATTTTTATATGAAAATTAATTACGAGTTCTAAAAAAACTGGAAATGATGCAGAAACTATCTCATTATTTAAAATCATGCAATGAAGAAAATTAAAAAACTTCTTACACTTATCTTAGGGTTTTTATTTGTGTATTTTCATGCTTAAATAATTTGAATTTTGTAGATAATCATGCGAGTGAAGCTAGCTAGTTGTGGATTTCAAGAAAACAGTGTTCTAGCTAGAAAATTTTTTGTATTGTACAAACTTTGTGAAGAGCAGTTAACTAAACAGGTTTGTTATTTTTTTTTCAATAACTTTATGTTTATTACAAAATATTTTTACATATTTTTATTGTATTACTGTAGTCAAATTCTGATAAAGAGAATAATTAATGTCCTAGTTTGATTAGAGTATTTCTTGCATTTTGTAATAAAAAGTAAAATACCATGTAGAAAAACACTCTTAACAACATTCATTTATTTTGAAAATTTTCTTTTGGGAGGAACTATTAATGTGAGAAGGGTTGATAAAATATTCAAAATGGAAAAGTGTTGTAGGTTAAGCAAAAAATTTCAGTAAATAACTTCAGAATGTAAAAATTGTATTCAAAATGCGTGCATATTTGCTATTATATTAGTAATTCAGCATCACAGCTGCCCTTTCAATATTAAACTGTCTTATAAATTCATCTTAATTAGAATGAAAAGTTAATGTTTATTTAAAAAGTCATTTTCAAAATTTAGGATGCTTGATATTTAAAGTATCAATAATCTTTAATAAAATGTCTTGAACTTACTTACAGTTGTTTAAAATTCTGATTAGCCCTTCATTTGTCTTATGTAGTACTTCCAAATAATTTGTTTGCATATTTATCATTTTAGCAGATCAAATTTGCAGTCAGTTCAAACTGTGTTCAACTCAGTATCACCTTAATAATGAATTGCCTTGAATTTACATACAGTTGCTTAGTAACCTCCCTTTATTTTATGTGGTATGTTCATAAACCATTTTATAGAAACCTTAGTATTTACAGTAGTGTTCAGACTCGCCATGTATAAATGAACTTATCTGTATCACATTATTTAATATCATGTGATGCTGCATTTGTAGAATTCATTTTCATTGCAACGAACTGTTAATAGATAAGATCGAAGTGATGTACTGCAGTTTTAATAGATTTAAAAATCAAACTTCTGCTTCCCCCCTCCCCCCTCCCCCCATCATAATGATTAAAACAGGATTTATACATTATCAATGGATAGTGGGATTAAAACTCTTGTATGGGCTTGGATAGTGGGTTTGAATTTACAGTGGGCATGGATTAGGATTATTCAATTATGGCAAAGCACACGAGGGCTATCTGCCTAATGGGAGGGATGCCTTCGTGGAGGACTTTCTAAGGGAAACTGGCTCGTATACACATAACACATGGGGAAAACCATGAAAGCGCCCATGCAGCCAGCCCGTTCGTGGGTTTCAAACCTCGGACTGAACTACCAGTGTTCAGCGTCTTTACCTTTACTCAGCTGCTGGTGGCCCCTAAAGTGGGCTTGGAGAGTGGTTTTGTGGATCAGGGTAAGGTGGGGTAAAATGGACCATTTTTGAGCTATACTCACATTTGAAATTTTGATAGCAATAAAGACATAGATTTTTCCCTTTTTTTTTCCTATTGCACCTTAAAATTACATTCTTTCTGAACATGATGTAATTTTATCAAGCATTTTTTAATTATAAATTAATAAAATTCAGCTTAAAATATTTTTACCCATTTTTCCCAGGATGGGGTAAAGTGGGTCATAATGCATAAATGAGGCTAATGAAGAATATAGATAGGCCTATTTATTATGAAAACATTAAAATGCATAAGTACAACATATTTTGCTAAACATAATTTTCAAATTTTAAAATGCTATTGTTCACGGATATTGAAAACTGGCTCTCGTAAACTTCTATAACATCATTCTTTTCGACAATATCGATATCCTGTCTTCCAGGAAAACATAAAAATCCCTTATTGTGGATTTGGTTACATACATCACGTGTATGTCCTAACCATCAATATGTGTGATTTGACCAATGAATGTTTTTATAGACATTTTCCTTTTATTTTATTATTTATTTCATTTTCCTTTCCTCCTTTTACTTAGCCTGTGCTCCAAAGATAATCTTTTTCTTATTAGTCTGTTCCAATTATTTTTTTTTAATGTTACCCTATGTGAAGGTGCTGTGTTACTTTGGGTTCTGTTAGGACTTCCTCAACTGTACGTTGTACTCTTTTTCTTTCTTTTTTAGAATTATCTATCCCAGCTTTAGTGGCACTTGTTTGTGCAGGTGAAAAGGTTGTCAGTATAGCAGATTTCAGATCTTTGAATGGTGATGATAATTAATTAAATGGAGCTTGAATAGTGTTTTGTTTATTTGAACAGGAAGGAAGTGCTGCATCAGAATCTGAAATAATAGTTGTCAGCTCTCTTACTATTGCATTCAAAGAAGTAAATGATACATCCAATTCTTCAATGGCTCTTTCACTCAACACAACCCTATGTTCCATGTCTTTCATGTTAGGAAGAAAAATGAATGCACCTTTGTAAAGTTTTAGAAGATGAGAGAAAACAGTTTAGAAGCATTTTGCAACCATGTTTCTAGAAGCCACTGCTTTAAAATCAGACTCCAGGATTTTTTTGCTGGAGCAAAAACTCGCACATCAAGTGATTGCAATACATGGGTTGTATTAGGGAGAAGACATAAAATCATAACTTGATTGTCAAGCGCCATCTTCCCTGTCATGTAATTCAGATGGCTGCCGTGACCATCAAGAATGTGAATAATGGTTTTTTTTTTTTTTTTTTAATGTTATGTTACAAATCATACAAAGTGTTCCATTTCCATGATTAAAAAATTTGTCTTCTAAACAACCAGATGCACAACATCTATAAATAGCACCCTGTAGACCACCTATGATCCCGGAATCATATAAATGTGCTTATTTGTACACTGTGAAAGGCAGCATATAAGTTTCACTTGAAGAAATGCAAAATAACAATGGGTACATAGCTTTTCGTGCATCAGAAGAAGTGAAATAAGCATTTCTACTCTTCTTTGAGACAAATACTTTGGGGTCTCTATACAGACCAACTTCATCTTGATTAAAAATTCTTCCAGGATAAGTATTTGTTTAAGTTACTTCTATATATCAATTCGATGTATGATGTAAAAAAGCTATTAACAATATCTGTAGACAAAGCTGATGCTCTTGATTTTGTCAAAAGTTCCATTTTTCACTTTGTGAGCTCATTGCTCCATCTTTTTTTAAAACCTCTTAACCATTCTATGCCAAGTTTGAGATTAATATGTTTAAGGTTACAACTAGATTTCATGTATTCATGAGCCATATTTATAACATCTTGCCTATCAAATGGGAAACCACATACTGCAAGAAATTTCAAAGCAACCACAATACAATGTTCCTCATCTTTGGTGAGGATTGTACTCTGTCCAGAGCTCTTATGAGTAGGAGTTTTAAATATCCACCTTCTGAGAGTTTTGAAAGATATACAGTATTGTTTTAGAGCTGCGCAAATCTCATTTTACGATTCTTTATAGCTTTTAATTGAAAATGTGACTTGTGGCTCACAGTTCTCTTTTTCATATAGTTTCTGGGCATGTTTCCTAATTAACAAAACAAAACAAAAAAAAATGTGTATAATACCATTACATGCTGATACTTGGATGTAATAAAATAAAATATTAAATAAAATAAAACTTAATTACCTATAAAACAACCTTATTGTTTATCAGCCAGAAATTGAAGAGGATTAAAGGTTAATTTGTAAGAAAGATTAAACTAATAATTAATCAAATATTTAAAATAATAGTCTGATAAGAGGCATGTTAAATTTCTTACACTGCTAATTGAATTAAAATTTGAAGCAATTAACAGCATTGTTTACATTAAATAAAACTAAATTAATTGCAATATTATAAAGTGAAATCAGCTAAGCCTAACCATGACCCATTTTATCCCATCAAACAAAAATTGAAATAAAAAATGAAAATCTCAACATTTTTCTTTCCTGATTGCCTTTAGTTGATGTACCAAGCTTCTTTTCTGAGAAAATACTTGCACTGTTGTTTGTTAAAATATACGTTACTTTCAGAAATTAGCAAACCATGGGATTTCTACAGGAACATTCTAAGTGTGTAATATGTTCTCTTTATATTGCCATATTCATGACTGTAACTTTTTAGGAATTAAAAATTTTTGCCATCAAACTGAGAAGTATTATTACAAATTTTATTTTAATAAAATCAATTGTATTTTTATTTACATTGAATTAATTATTAACGTGACCCATTTTACCTCATCCTATCCTAACATTTGCCCTTGACTTAGCATCACTTCAAATAAAGGTGAATTTCATTTTTATCAAAATTAACTTTATAAATCAGTTGAATTTAATCTATACTTTAAATTAAGCATTAGTTTCTTACATGTTCTACGTAATAACAGTATGAGAATAGTAAGGGAAATCTATTGTATTAGGAATATAAGCTTCAAATTTCAATCATTGAATCTGCATTGATTACTTTGCAACCATCTGCATTAAACTGAGCTGTTGAACTTCAGAGTATGTATTTGCATTTGCTTTATAGTTTATTTTTTGTGTTTGGTAATTGTTAAAGAATTTTAATTCCGAATTATAATTAAAATTTAAAACTTATATGAGCGTTTTGTCTTCTAAAATGTAAGTATAGAAGGAATGATCAATAGCTTAATCAATATGCAGAGTATCCCAAAATAATGTTTACATTATTTGAATACTAATAGCAGAGTAACTCCAAAAGATAACTCTGTGTGGACTTTTAGGTTGTTATATATGTTGAGTGCAATATATATGTTGAGTGTTTCCCAATGTTTTGTTTTTATTTCATCACAATTTATCAGGTGGCATGCATTATTGTGCGTGAAAGAGCAGAGTTAAGCATGTTTCTTCCCCCCCCCCTAAGAGAAATGTAAGGGGACTTTGAAGTATCAGTGAAAAACTTAAAATATGTATGAGGTGCAAAGACGATGGAGAACAGAGTTTATATTCTGCTACCATCAGATGTAGCCATTACAAGATTATGAGATATGTTTCAGGAGAAGAAGTTTTGTGTAATATCAAGAAAAGATAATGCAGCATAAAGAAAACAGGAATGGGCTTAGATTACAGTGGAGCTGTGATATGGACCTCTAAGGAACACTGCATATTCTATACAACCATAAATACTGGATGACATGAGACACGCAATTGGTAGTACTACCTTTGCTACCCTTCTTTTGTAAATTGTATCCACTGTTTGTTAATCTTTTACAGCATTAAAGATAATGTATTGCTGACAGTGGTGGTCATTTGTAACATTTATTATTTCAAGATATATGACATCAAAATATTAATACTTCCGTTTTTGCAAAAATATTAATATTATTTAAAATATATATATATATATATATAGTAGTAGGTAGAAATATTACAGCGAACTTGCTAAAAAGTTACCAGGAGCTGTAGCTCCAGAAATATTGTAACACGGTACTACATAAATAATAAGAAATTTGTCTGGAAAAACTGGAAAAAACTGTAAACACGCGATAAAACTGGCAAATTTAGTGCTGGAAGACTTGATAATGCACGAAAAAAATTAATTAATCTGACTGTTGTGAAATGTGAAAAGTTAACTCACATGAAAAGTAGATCGACGTAAAAAAAAATATATATATATATAAAAGGAAGGTACAAAAAAGCATAGATTATAAAATGTCAACATATAAAATGCCTATACATAAAAAATTAAAATTAAAATTAAAACTAAAAGGAAGACACAAAATGCATCAATACAATTTACAATAAACAAAAATTAAATAGCGGAAAAATGGTAAATTAGCAGAAAAATGGTAAATTAACCCACTTCGTACTCTCAGTTGGCTTTTTCAAGGGAAAAAAACTGTTTTACGAAATAGGTTAAATACCATTACGCATTTCGCCGAAACAGACCATTGAAGCTCTTGTTTAATGCCAAAAAACTTTTTTATAAAGAACATTAGTATTTCCGAAAAAAATTTTTTGGAATAAATCCTTTTTGTTGCTCCACTGCTCTGTTCCTTTTCCCCGACGCGTCCGCTGAAATACACATTAAGGTGTCAAAAGCTATTGTAATTCCGAGCAATGTAAAATAAAAATCAAAATCAAAGTAGAAAATTAATAAAATAAAATAAATAGCGGTCTGCTATTAGTCAAAAATCACAACAACGTACGGGCTGGTCCTTTAAACCTTAAAGAATATGTAACTTTTATTAGAAGAATGGTGCTGTAAACAAATAAAATGTAATCAATTTTGTAAGTAAATGAATAAACGTCGCAGGGTCTTATTAAGACCAAAAACCTAGACAAAGAAACGAAAAAACTGACCTGAGAGGTTCCGTCCTCAGCTTTCGAAAAATTTTTTGGAAAAGGGCGCAAAATCCCTTCGTGCCTAAGCCAACCTTCCTTATCGCATAGTGACGTCGTCGTGCAAAGCTATAAAATCTGAAGAGGCCAATGGGCTGAGATTGTAGGTTGGCGGGAATTCTTGTCCCCCCCTTTTTTTTTACAGAAGGGTGTGACAGATGAGAAAAGACACGGAAAGAACTCAAAATGGCGTCAGTCAAGTTGTAAGAAGAACAAAACTGTTAAAAGTAAGTGAAAATGGCTAATTCAGCTAAAATTACTTATTTTTGGCCTCAAAAGGAAGTGTAAATTGGAAAAAATCATTTGTTAATAAAAGTTGTCATTCTTCAAGCTAGAGGGCTGTCAAGCTACTATGAAAAATGAAAAGGCCCGATTTGTTAATAAAAGCAGAGTTTGGCCTTCTAAATAATTTAAAACTATTACATAATAGTATTAAAGTAAAGTGCCAAAATCTTTGGAGGAAAGAAAATGTTTGTACAATTAACTGTACATTTATACAATTTTTACATTCGATAATCTGAATTAGCCATCCATCATTTGCCGTCCGGTATGCTTTAAGCAAAAAATTTCATTAATTTGTTTTGGATAATGAAATTTTTGGTAAAAATTGTAAAAATTGGTAAGGCTAATGCTAGCTTTTTTAAAAGTATTTTTAATTATTTTTTGAGGAATTTGGTTGTTTTTCAAAATTGTGACGAAGTAATACTACAGATCTGTAGTATTACAGATCCTTTTTATTCTAAGAAGCTGTGAAAAAATAGTGTTAATGATGATTCTTTTGGAAATATTAGAATTCCAGTTTGTTAACTTCAGTGTAGAAAAAGTGAATTCTCTCCTCTTGTCGTAGACTTTAATAAAATTGTAATCAATGATATTAAGGTCAAGGTATACTACATTATTTTGCACCGTATTTGTTTTATTTAGCTTTAAGTTAGTTGGGTAGATATTAGCTGCTTCTATTTTTGTTATGGTTGTTAAAGGCTAGATATCATCAATGTAACGATAAATGTGTTGATAATAGATATATATATATATATTGCTTTGGGATGCCTGCATATGGCTTTGAGAGAAGTCAAGTGCTGTCTGTTGGCATGATAGTTCTGGATCCAATCCTAGATACAATTTTTTTCAAGGAGTACTCCATTTAAGTGACAGTTTTGTCATAACCGCACACTCATAATATCAATACACTCATGAATTCAAGTATACTTACATATGTGGGCATATATATATGCAATCAACTACCAAGTTTGAAAATTGATTTACACATTACATATTTGAAAAATGAATATCTCATCTTTAACTAACATAATTTTCTATTACAAAAGTGTGAATATCAATTGATTCACTAAATAACTATGGCATCACAAATCAAGCAACAAAATTTCACAAACTTTATAAAACTAATGTAAGGATAGAAATTACAAATTTCTTGTTTTGCATATTAAATATTGTTATGTTATTTTCTTCCTTCACATTTGTATGGGGTTCTTAGATTTGGAGTGAATAATGACAACACTTGATGAAGTATCGAAACACACTTTATTGAGCCAAAAATAATCAGGACAGCTCCAAAATCACGTTTACTGTCTTTGAAGAACTACTAAGGACATGCTGTAACAATCAGTAACACAGCCTTCAGGCAATCAGGCTATAACACTGAAGAAAGCTTCACAACAAAGCACCAGTGTACAGCTCCCAACTCTTCTTGATCATTCTCAAAACTCCACATACTCTCGAGACTCTCCACGCTGCAACTCGCAATGCACTCGACAATACAAAAGAGTACAGCTCTCCTCTACTCAGCACACTCTAAGACAAAACTCGATGATACACTAACTCGCAATACACTTAAAGACTCTCTCGATGCACTCGACGACCAACTTGGCACTAGACTGTGAGACACTCTCCCAATGACTGACTATCAACTCTCTAGACAAGGCACTAATTCTCCTTGTACCAGCAGGGTTTATATAGCTTTTGGCTTGTGTTCGAGAACGTTTTGGGCTAAACCGGTAAGAATTCTTTCCAGAGTTTCTCCATCCGTCCATGGCATATTGCCAATTTTGTTGCCAAATGGCCGAATTCTTGCCCTGCCTTCCTTTGCCATTTTCTGGCAACCGTAAACCTGCTTTGCGGGGAAGCTAGCATACTGCACCTGTACATTTGTAACAATATTATTTTAAATAAATATTCCATCTGCTATTTACATTAAATTAAAAAATGTAAAAGTTATTATGTGTCAAAATTTAAATCTTAAATAAAGTTTAAATAGTTATATACATGCATGAATAAGATATAATTAAAGTATTAGTAACACTGAATGTGTGGAAAAGTTGCAGGAATCAATTATTTTTATGAAAGAGGAACTATCTTTTTAAATCCATTAAGCTTTTGGTGTGAAATAAAGCAGATTGTCATATACTATGCAGGTGCATTATGATTTTGGCCTCAGAAATATCCTCTCAGTGTTACGAACTCTTGGAGCTCAGAAAAGATCTAGACCAGAAGAAAGTGAATCATCTATTGTAATGAGTGTTCTCAGCTCTATGAATGTCTCTAAACTGGTAAGTTAAATATATATTGCTATTGCATTATTTATTCAATTAATTTAATTTGCATATAAAAAAATCACATGTTAAACTTTTATCTGCTTTTATAAACAGGGTGTACTTTCTTCATGTCCAATGAATAAAGAATTTTGGGAATTAAAAAATTTTGAATAAGTGAATGCCAAGATATGTAAAGCTATTTTTCATAAATAACATTGTATGTTTCAAATTTTTGTGTATTTCCTTTAGGTAGATGAAGATGAACCATTATTTGTAAGCCTTATTAATGATCTTTTCCCTGGAATTACCCAAGAACCAGTGGAATATGAAGATTTACAAGTTGCTATTGCTCATCAAGTGAAGGAAGCCAATTTGATTAATCATCCACCATGGAACCTTAAAGTCATTCAAGTATGAACTTAGTATTTGCAATAGTCACATTATACTCTGAAACATACCTTTTTAAAAAATCAGTGGTTATCTGAATTTGCATATACTGTAATTTAAGTTTATGCAACATTAGCTTTTACCTGCGGCTTTGCTCGTGTTGATGTCCTTAAATAAGTTTCAAAGACTATTGAAAATAAAATAATTTGATTTTTTTTCTTATTGCCTGACCAGAATAATCAGGATAGAATTTTAGTTACTATTACTTATTTTTTAAGTTAAAAATACACTCCACGTAAAATTTCAGTAAATACTGCCCTTCTTCATTGAGATAAAAAGAAATTCATAATCCGATTTGGATATATTAAACATTGCAATCTTACTTGTATGTTTTTTTTGGGGGGGGTTACTAAAAAATTCTAAAGTTAAAATATAATTTCAAAGAAAATTTGAAAAATATGCTTTATTTAAGACATCTCACTACAGAAAGTAAATAATTTTCATTACCAAGATTTCAAAAAATTTAAAGTATTAACAAAACATTAAGAAACATTAATTTCTTTTTCAGAAGAGCACGAATAAGAGTATTATTCTAGGATGCTTCTGTATACTTTATGACAGTACAAAGTCCATAATCCGGACGTCCATTATCCAGAATGATCTATAATCCAAACCTCAAAGCCACAAACTTTTTTTTTGTATGCTTTTTATGCATGCGCGTTTAATGTATAACGGATGTATAAGCTAAGCTAAAATTATTTTTACTGATTCTAAGGCAATTCAGTTAATGTTCAGATTGCATGATTGAGACATCGCAAACTAAAGGTGAAATTTTCCAGTTATTGGATTTTGTAAAGAAATGTGGAGAAGCGGTAACAAATGAAGATGATATAACAGAAGTTTTTCATTGTGACGACAATGCCCTAATCATCAATCAATTAATGGATGGAGAAATCTGTAGTATGTTTCTAGATCCAGAAAATACCGCTTCCGATAGTGAAGGAAGTGACAGAGAGGTTATTGAAAATGAAAAAATTTCGATTGGCAAGTTAGTCGGTATTCTCAACACAGCAATTACAGGACTTGAACAGTGGAACTTTGTAACTGGACAAAAAAATTATGTCTGTTTATAGAATTAAAGAGAAAGTATTAGCACAAAAAAACGAAGCAACTTAAACAACTTACATATAAAGAAATGTTTAATAAAGTAAACAAATAAATATTAAGCTTTTTTTTTTTTTGTAACTTTTGATACCCTTTAGATTGATTATATTTGCTCTTTATTTTATAATTTATGGTTTCATATTTTTAATTGTATAATTTTTACATGCCATCTTACCAGATTTAAATTGATGATCTATAATCCGGAAAAAAACCCTAATCCGGAATCGCTGAAGTCCCGATGAGTCCAGATTACGGACTTTGTACTGTATATGTTTTTCCATTTGGCGCTAATACATATAAATTCCTGGCTTTGGATAAACGCGAACAGGCAACATAAAGTTGACCATAGGAAAAGCACGACTTTTCCAAATGCACCCCTGCTACCTGTAATGTTTGTCCTTGAGCTTTGTTAATAGTAACAGCAAAACTAAGTTTGATTGGAAACTGCAGTCTTTTAAAGTGAAACTGTAAGCAGGGGTGTAGCTAGAGGGGGGACAAGAGGGGACATCTGTCCCTGAGTGCAGAATCCAAGGGGCGCCAAACTGATGTTATGACATTTTAGAATTAAATGTTTTCCATCCTTGACAAGCAGTAGGCGGCGCAAAATCTTCAGTTGTCCCTGGGCGCTGAAAACCCTAGCTACGACTCTGATGGTAGGTCAATGGTGATTATTGGGATTCGAGGTATTATAACACTTTCCCCCTTTCCTACACCTGTTAAAATAGTGGCATCGATTATATTCTGCCCTAATTGTATGATTGAAGCCTCGTTCCATTACACAGTCGAGGTGCATCTGTGTTTCGCCTAAGCATAACCGGTACATTTAGTTTCAATTGGAGTTTAGGTGCGGGTACACCTGACAGCTCTATTAAAGGAATAAACAAAGAGAGATATCTTACTTCTAAAATTAAAACAGATGTTGGTTAGGATTGTAGTAAAAAAATATTCAAAAATAAACAATTTATACAGAAAATTGTGTCACAAACGAAAAATAATTATTCAAAAAATAAAAATAATAACAGTATTTCACAGGAAAAAATGCAGTTTCAAATAATTATAACCGTTCGTTCTTCAATTGTAACACTATAAACATAACGTGTGACAAGCATAATACTAAGTATAGTATGTGATTCGTAGTTTTCTAAATAATTAACAGATGTCAATTAACAGATGTTGATGTAAAAATTGTAGTATTTTATGTTAAACGATGTAAAAAGCATAGCAAAATTAAAGTGTAAGTAATTTGTTAAATTTAAGCTACGGTCATAAGTGTGTGGTACATGCTATACTCATGTTTTAATGATTGTTGACTTAAAATGATTGTTGTTGTATAAACATTAAGTGTTGAAAATTTCATAATGATAAGTTAAACGATGTAAAAGTTTGTCTGCACTCGCAGATGCGTAGCTTAAACCACACAAACATTTAATAGAACCAGCTTTCAAGGATTCAAAGAACAATTTTTTTTAATTGTAATTCTAGGAAAATATTAACTTTATTGAAAATAAGAGGCAGTATTCCTTAAACTATAACTGGAAGCACTATAACTGATCAACAAAATAGCTGGCCATTATGTGTGATTATGGTGCATATATAATTATTGGTAACAAATTCTTGTATGTTGTAATTGGTCTGTATTGTCACTTACCCAGTAGTGATAGGTTATGATAGTGATAGTGTTGGGATAGTAGTGATAGGTTATTTTACCCAGTAGTGATAGGTTATGGTTTGATCTCTGCTTAACATTTATTATTTGTTTTTCAATAGCTATATGAAACTCAAATGGTTCGGCATGGCATGATGGCACTGGGACCAAGTGGAGCTGGTAAGACTTGTTGCATTAGAGTCCTTATGAGAGCTATGACTGAACGAGGTGATATACATAAAGAAATGAGAATGAATCCTAAAGCAATAACAGCTTCACAAATGTTTGGTCGCTTGGATGTTGCAACAAATGATTGGACAGATGGCATTTTCTCCACATTATGGAGACGAACTCTGAAAACAAAAAAAGGTATTTGAAATTATTCAGCTTTATTTTTTAATCTATATTCTTAGGAATATTTAAATATAAAATATTATTTACAAACTAATTTATTGTATAGTGTAATAAACAATGAGCTTTCCATGTTCAGTGGCAGAAAAGACATCCAAGTTTGAGTTATCCAAAGAAAAAAAGTATTGAAAAGTAAAACATGTTCTCTCATTTATAGTTCAAATTTAATGTATGAAATTATTGCATATTGCAAATTATGCATCACAAGTATCTATCACAAGCTATTTAATATGTATATAAAGAACTGTGATTCTAAAAATAGATTTAATCAGCCTGTACAGATTACTTATGGTTGATAAATCCAATTATTTCACAAAATAATGTATATGAGTGGTATCCCCCCTTCAAAATTTTAAAATGAACAAATAAGTGAATGAATAAAATGAGAAATAACTTCTTATTAAAAACAATAAATATAATTTCATTAAATTTATAAATTTTAAAATGTACAGGAATCAGGAGGATTTAATCCAAATAATTCAGCATCATGAATGTATAACATTGAAAATATGGCTAGAGCTAATTAAAATTATCTATCAATTGGACATTTGTTTGTGTTTAAAATTGCATAATTTAGGTTGATTATTTAAACAAAATTAAACAGTAAGTGAGTGTGAAGTTCCTTCCCCTGATGAAAGACGAAGAACGGAAGTGACCTACCCCGGAAAAACCGGTCGAGGCAGGCTGGTTGGGGGGAAAAAAGACTGGACTAGTGGGCACTTGGAGTTGGACCGGCCAGCATGCCGTGTGAGAATATAGAGAACTGAAACATGTTTTAATTTCTTTTGCACGCCTTGTATATATATATTGTATATAGTTTGTTTTTACAGTGTATTCGTTGTATGGTGTATCAATAGTGCAGTATGTGTAATAAATTAGTGGAAAAAATGTCAAAGCGGACAAGTGTTATTTTCCCATTATGGTAAATTCACCAGAAGAACCCACTTCGTGTTTTGAACGAGCACGAGGCATGAAAAATGGCGCAGCCGGTAGGATAGTGGGAAAAAGGCAATCGCCAAAAATACAAAGGGAATAAGATCATAAAAAGTTATTTGAGTGAACGTGGTTTAAATGAAGGAAATAATTCACGAAAGCAAGGAAGATGACAAAAGATGGTCAGGATAGACGGAAAGGGCACAAGTAAGCCTACACGTGCAAATAAACGAAGGGTGTACGAAACCGCGTGTTGAAACCTCGTCAAGGTGTGAAAAGTGATCATCAGGGGTATTACCATCGTGGTGATATTATTAATTGAAATGTTCGTGCAGTGTGGTGAAAACAGTGTGTGGTAAAAGTGATCATCAGTATTACCGTGGTGATATTATTAATTGAAATGTTCGCACAGTGTGGTGAAAACAGTGTGTTTTAAAAGTGATCATCAGTATTACCGTGGTGATATTATTAATTGAAATGTTCGTGCAGTGTGGTGAAAACAGTGTATGGTAAAAGTGATCATCAGTATTACCGTGGTGATATTATTAAGTGAAGTGTTATGCAGTGCGATGAGGAAATTGTACAGAATGGAGCACAACTCGTCATTTTCTACTATCGGGATCAAAGGTAAGTCCCTCTTAATTTCTTGGGAAGCACAATATATAAATGAAGAGAGCTCCCTCCCTTTAATTACTATAGTAACGGAGAAAATTAAAATTGTGTTAATGTCGGTTAATAACATGATGAGAATGCCAGGCGTTAAAGCCAGTACAGACACTTAGAAAGTATATTTTATATGCAAATAAGGAAATTATGATTAATTCTTTTTGTTATTAAGGAGATAATGTATGCTAAATGAATGTTAAAATAGTTCAAAAATATGTCAGCAGTAATTTCGAAACATTTAATTGTGTGCTCATGTTAATAATTAAGGTAGAAATGATTATCTATTTTTGTTGTTGCCGTATTTTGACAAAATGTTTTAATCATTAAAGTTAATAGGTTGATTAAAAATTAATTAGTTTAATGATTTGAGAACAATAAGTAAATATGTTTGTTTCATTTCCAGAATATGTAAAGTATTACAGCGTAAGGCCAAAGTATTCAGAACTATTTTTTTGTACTAATTCAAAAGCTAATATAATTTTTGGTATTTATGTGTTAACAATATATGGTGAAATATATGTTAATAGTTTAATATGAGAAAGGTATTCAGAATTGTGTTCACTAATGATAATGTTTGCTAAATGAATAATGGTAGTATTCAGTAGTAGTGAAATATGTATGTTTGCCTGTAAAATCAAGTGTTATTTATGTGTTGTATGTGTAAAGCTGTAAAACGGAAATATCAGAGTTAATATGGGTCCTAAAAGGAGAAATAGGGTGTCAGAAGAATCTGATGAAATTATTAAGAACATGCAGGCTCAAATTAAGTTAAAGGAAATGGAGCTGCAGCTAGAAAAGTGTAAGTTAGAGGCAGATGCGGCTAAAAGACCGATTAAAAGAGATGGAATTTCGGGAAAGACAATTAGAGAGAGAACACGAGATAAAAATTAAAGAAATAGAAATTCAGAGTAGGAAAATAGATAAAGGAGGAAGTAAATCGGGCAATCAGAGGATGAAGGGGTTTCAGATTGCTGAGAGCAAGGGAAATGATTTCTTGAAACATTTAAAAATAATGAAAGGAGTTATGATTGACCCGCCATCTAAAGCTGAGAAATGGCCGTTCTTTTTCCATCATGCGGAAATGATGTTTAATCTCTATAAAATTCCTGAAGAACATAAGGGGAAATTATTTTGCAGAGTTTTAAAAACTAAAGTTAAAAGTTTGATTTCAACTCTGGGTGAAAGGGATTTGGATAATTATATTAAGATTAAAGATACAGTATTAAAAGAATTCCAGATTACCCCATTGCAACATAAAAAGAATTTAGAAAAATGTGTAAAAAGATATGAGGAAACGTATACTCAGCACATAGCGAGGGTTGAGGCAGCACTTGATTTCTACTTAGAATCCAGAAAAGTTAAGACTTTTGATAAATTAAGAGAACTATTGATTGTCGATCAAGTAAAAGATCAATTACCCGCAAATGTTAAGGCGCATATACTGTTAAAAGAGGTAGAAAAACTGGTTATCTCCGTCAGAGCTTGCAAATGATTTGGATAATTACGTTGCAGCAATGCCTAGAAATTACAATACGAGTGCTCAGGAAGTAAATAAAGTGGGACCAAAACAGGAACCGATAAGACAAGGGGAAAAATTAGGACGACCAAATAAGAGTAAGGGGAATTTCAGTTCTGATTACAGGGTTGATAAGGAGAAGTACAAAGGGGTAAAAACTTTAGAACCTCAAGGAATGATGCAGGCAAATAAGAAAGTTCTAAAATGTTTTCAGTGTCAGGGTGAAGGACACATAAAGCGTTTTTGTCCAGCGATAAACCTGATAGCGAAACCCAAGAGAGGAAGCGAAAAAGAGGATACGGATGAGGTGGAAGCAAAGGGATTAAATAAAATATGCGTAGGGTTGAAGTTAGCTAACTATGCAGAAGAAATTCCGTTAACTAGGGCAAGTGGGGAATTACCTAGGATAGAACTGCAGATAGGCAACGCTAGATTCAAAGGAGTGATTGATAGCGGAGCAGAAGTTACTGTAATCCGGAAAATCGGTAGTTCCACAGAAATATTTGGAGTCTGGAGGGAAGATATGGTTACAACCCGCCGTAGGACCCCAGGTAGAAGCCCAATTAGTTACAGTACCTATGAGTATCTGGTTAGGAGAAGAGGAGGTACAGCCTTATGTAAATGTTCATGCAGCAGTAGTGCATAATTTGAACGAGGAAGCGCTGGTGACACCTCGAGATTTTAGACTTCTCAGAGAAGAAAGAGATATTTATTGGGGAGAAAATAAGGAAGAAAACTAGTATTGGGGAGTTGGTCAGGTATCGAGTAACTTGGACGGAAAGGAATCGACAGAAAAAAGCCAGTCACGAGGTCGAAGGTGAAAGGGAAACTCGTAGCTCGTACTACACCGTTAGTAAGGAGTAAAGATGAGGGGGAAGTAGAAGTGGGGGGCAGTGAGCAAGTGTCAGCTGATAACCCACCTCGTGTTTTGAACGAGCACGAGGCATGACAGTGACCATGAAGGGTGTTGCTTGTCATTTATCTAAAAGTTGATAGTCATTGTCGTGGGGTGGTGTGCTAAATTTACACAGCATTTTAAATTAGAGTCAAAACAAAGTGCATTGGTGTCTGCTAGTGCTGGCCACTTTTATCTTGGTGGTGGTGCTCAGTTTCAATCAATCCACAGAGCACTAGTGCATTGTGATGCAATAAATTTAAATAGATTTTAAAATCAAAATTAAATTATGGGACACTGGTACCCCACATGGTTGTTGGTGACTGGTGCCTGTCATTGCTTTTAGTTATTGGGAACATACAGTGAGAAGGCTATTTGGTCACTATGTGGAGCAGTAAATTAAATTAAAATTAAATCAGAACACCAGCGTCTGTCATAGCTTTTATCCTAGTGACCTACAGTTTCAGATCGACTCGTAGATTTTCACTGTGAGGTTAGTGAAGTAAATTTAGATAGATAATTAAATTTATTTAAACTGGAACACACTGATGCCTGTCAAAGCTGTTGGTGATCAACTGCCCATAAGGTGACTGATGATATGCAGTCTGAGAAAAATTTAGGATTAATCAATGAGTCACTGTTGCAAGGTAATGAAATTATATTTCACTAGGTGTTGAAAAGAAAATAAAGCACATCAACATCAAGGCTTTTGATCATCTGTGACATACAAGTTGATAGTCACTGGATTTCACTCGATAGGTCATGGTGGAATGGATTGAAGCTGAATAATTTTTTTTCTTAATTAAGCCAATGACTTAGTGGCCATCAAAGCTGTTAATCTATTTGTAATTAATGACCTCTGGTTGCTGGTAGTCAGCCATGAGTTCGTAAATGTCAGCCAGGGCAGAAAATTTAGGTAAATTCTTAAAAATTAAAAGAAACCAAAGAACATCATTTACCATAACTAAGGAATACCAGTGACCATCAAACTCATGACCACTGCTAACTGTTAAAGTAATTGGTCTCTGGTAATCTGTGTGTTTTCAGGTACCAGTGGAGGGCAGTCAATGCTGTTGTGGTGGAAACACTTGTCAACGCAATCAGAGCCTAATAAAATGTAACACATGATTTTAAAAAGTTTATAAAATCTTTTCTAATGTCAGAAATCTTTTATTGAACAATGTGAGCAAATCTTTAGAAAGATAACTTTCAACAGATGAGCATGTATGGTTGGTTTTGGATGGTCCAGTTGATGCAATATGGATTGAAAACCTGAATTCTGTACTGGATGATAATAAAACTCTGACTCTGGCCAATGGTGATCGCATTCCTATGTCTCCAACTTGCAAAATTGTTTTTGAGCCTCACAACATAGACAATGCATCTCCTGCTACAGTGTCCAGAAATGGCATGGTATATATGAGTTCATCTGGTCTTCACTGGGAACCAATACTTGAGGTAAACTGTGTTTTCATTAGACAAACTGCTATATGTATTATTGATTACAACAAAATATCTGAATGTGATTGTTATTCATTTTTTGGTAGTCTGATTTGGTAGACAAAATTATATTTTCAGAAACTATTCTTAAAGATTGTTAGATATGGTGTTACTTCAAATTTAAGCTGCAGGTAGAATTTTTAAATTGTAGAAAATAATAAAAAATAATTTTTAATTTAAGCCACACCCTAAATTTAAATGTTAAAATTTGAATGAGAAATGCAGATTAAATTTGAAGTTTTTTGAATGGGGAAATGCTTATGTTTTATTATGCAATCCATATTGCTGTATTTTTCTTTCTAATTGTAAAAAAATGCATTTAATGCTCAGTATTTTTTTTCTTTTTTCTTTTTGCATATTCCTGAAAGGAAAATTAAATGAAGAGTGTATAACTTCATTTAGTTTGTATACAATTTTTTTAATGCGCAGATCAATTCTCCTTTTTATTCTCTTCAAAATATCCAACAATTATGTTATTTAATAGATTTGGGAAACAAACAAAAATTATTGGTACTTCCTGATTATCCACACCCCTACGAAAAAGTTTCAAAAAGGTATTTATCAGGCAATGCACCATGTTGCCAAAAAGTTTTTATATGGCAGTCAGACAATGTCATCAAAAATTATTTTACATGCCAACCCAGGTATGATTGTAACATCCCTTCCCCAGACGGCTGTTCACTTTGGACATTTTCAGCAGTGTAGCTGCTTTTTATTTATATATATATATATATATTTGTGAGCATTTTTATGTTTTAGCATAGCAGTGGACTGCGTATAGCTGTTTTCATAATCTTTGATGAAATCTCGGACTTTGGTGAAATCTCAAGTCTTTCTGCATGCATGGAACATAATGTGGCTTGCTTAATGTCATCTTGTGCCTTCTTTTCCCCTTTATCCAATATCAATTTTTAAATATGTGCCCAAATGCATCTTGTAAAAAAATTTCGTTCATTTAAAAGAGGAACAAGTAGAGAACTTTTATCAAGTCATTTAGAAATGGGAATATGATATCAGAGTAATTTGAAAATTAAGATGGTTGCATGTAATTACTGGATAAAATGCAGTTTTACTAACGAAAGATAAAGGCAGTATAAGGATCTTTGGCTAAAAATTTTTTATGTAATAAATTATGTTTTAATGGCTCCATAAAAATGTTTAGTTCTTTCATTTGAAATATGTATAATGTTTTCTATTAAAGTTATATAATCCAAGTCGTTTTTCATTATTCAGTGGGACAGGTTACATAAATATATACACACTCAAGAAAGGAGTAATATGGACTGCAACAAAATTGTGTATGATGGCAAAAATTAAGATCATCTTCCAAATCAGTGTAATCAAAGTTCTAAATTATGCATAAATTTAAAAACCAGTTTCTGCAAATTAAAATTCTGCAACCGTGGGTTAATAAATGTTGTTTTGTGATAATACCATAAAATGATTTATTAAAGTAAAAAATTCGTGAAGCATCGATTTTCGATCCATTTTCATTTTCTCGAACAATATTTATCTTACTTAATGTTGTAAAATTTTGTAAAGAAAAGTAAATCATTTAGTTGTCAGTTTTTGAATGAAATTTGTGAAATTCTATAAAAGTATGCAAATTGTATTAATATTTTTCTGTATTTCATTTTGAACTGTATTGCTAGCAAATTTTAAAGAATATTTTCTGACTAGGGTTGGCTGGGTGTTCGGCCAGCAGCTGAAGCAAATATTTTGAGAGGACTTTTTGCCAAAGTTTTTGATCCATTATGTCAGTATGTTTTAATATCTTTAACTCCAAAAATGGAATTACTGGAATGCAATTATATAAAGCAGGTTAGTCTGAAAATTGATTTAGTTGATAAAAGTTAATGTAAGTTTATTTAAGCAGTTAAAATTGTTATTTAATTTAAAATAAAAATCTCTCAAATACGGAATATTAGAGTATATTACTTTTATCTTCTGAGACTAACATTTCTTATAACTGTCAGTAAATTGTTATGTTTTCCATTTATATATGTTTTTACTAATTGTAAGTATGATTTCTAAAGCATGATAGGAAAAATTATTTTTCAGAGCAAGTTTATATAATAATTAATAAATTTCATGACTTGATAAAAAACAGCCTTGATCATTTCGATAATTAATCTAATAATAGCAAAGCTAAAGTTGTTTGCTTTGGTCAAAAGACATTTAGTTAATAAATGTTTTTTATTTTATTTTATTTTTTATTTTTTTTCGTAAAAACTGTAATTTTTATTAGTACCCAGTTATTATTAATTTTTCTTATTATGTGTAAATCAGGTCTTCTTTTCAGTTTTTCAAGATGACCCTTCTAATAAAATTTACATTATTCATTAATTAGGCCATAGATCTCTTAGATGGCTTATTACCATCTTCTGAGAGTGAACCTATCACTCCAGTACATTATGAAAGACTTTTCATTTTTGCTTTAATGTGGTCCTTTGGAGCACTACTGGAACTAGATGACCGAAGCCAGTTAGAAATTTTTCTGAAACGACATAAACCCAAACTTGATCTGCCAAAGGTACATCCTGCACGCAATGAAAATATATTTGAATTTCTTGTTGATGCAGAGGGTAAGATTCTAAATATTGAATTATTGTTTTATTCTATGAAAATCATATCTTGTTATGCTGAACATAATCATTTGTAATACTTTATTTTTATGATGACTGGAATGTGATCTGTGTATTAATATTAAATGCAAATATTATTTATAAAACACTAGGAAAATGGTTGAATAAATATCTGATATTTCATTTTTAAAACTTTATGAATGATCCCCCCCCAAAAAAAAAGATAAAAGAAAAAAGTGTGCACAATTAAGTACATTTTCTTAGCAGATGAAAAACATTTTAACTGACCTTTTTACTTATTTTTAAATCTGTTCACATAATTTAGTTTCTGTAAATAAATAAATTAATTTGAATAACTCTTGCACCAACAAAGCCGCAGGATACTGTGACCTGCTGTCCAGGAAATAGTGATGTAGCAGTAAGCAGTAGTGATGTAGTGAAATAGCATCTTCTGTTTTCTGATCTGATTATTAGTGCTATTTACCTTTAATATTGTTGTCTTTTCCATAGAAAAGTTATATTTATTTAAAAAATTTAATTCACATTTTCATATACCAGTTGGTTTAAGTTAATCATTACTTTATTCAACTCCTGAATTTAGTGCATGATATATTATTAAAAATTTATATTTTAATGTAATTTACACATTTATTTAAAGTATAGAATCTTTGCATTTTAAATCGTTCATTAAATCTTAATTTTATTTATTAATTAGTGTGGTGTTAATTTTTATCATTGTTTAGTATTTTCATGATTATTCTGATATGGTATGAGAAAATATTCTGAGAACAATTTGCTTATGTATCCTTATCTCAACAGGAAACTGGTTGCATTGGACCAACCGTGTTGATGAATATGTATATCCATCTGACAGTGTGCCCAAATTTTCATCAATTCTTGTTCCTAATGTTGACAATGTTCGCACGAACTTCCTCATTGATGTTATTCAAAAGCAGAAAAAGGTTACTTTCTATTTTTATTTTACTATTATATATAGTGGGCCTACTAGTTTTCCTTTCATTGTTGCCATCAGTGTAACACATTTGCATTGTTGCCATCACAGACATGTTCCTGTTCTGAAGAAAACAGTTTATACTCTCTTTTATACTGAATATTAATGCCATGAATACACTGTACTTGTAATGGGTTGAGTAAGGATGTATATTTTTAAAATGATAAGAATAATTTTTAAAAATATATAATTTTTAAATGAAATTAAATTGAATACATTATAATAGTTTTAAGAAAATATTATGAAGGAAACTGTAAAAGGTTAATTTCATCATAAATTATAGATTGTGTCTTCATATATAAATGCAACAATTTTAAAAGCATTAACTTCTGCTGATGGAAGAGAAAATAGTTGGAACATAAAGTATTTTTCATAGTTTTTTTAAAAAAAATGCTTGCAAGAGCTAATGTTATCTTTTTATTAAGAAATTGTTAAATTTTCTATTAAAAATAACTTAGCTCTCATTAAAACCCTCAGTTTAAATGTTTAATTGCGATAAATATTTTTTTAAATATGTATATTTTTATCTACTTTTTCAGATTGTTATTTTTTATAATATGTTACAGATAATTATGTCTCATAAAGTAATTTATTCCTCTGAGATCTTATTATATTATGTAAATAATTCCCATCAATTAGAATCAATTAAAGGATTTTTAGTTAATTGTTTTCGATGTATCTGTATTTATTATACCTAATTTTTTATGATTTAGAATAAAATATTTGTGTATTTTCCTAGATGTATGCTGTATTTATTAGCAAGAAAGAATATTTATTCATTTCGTGAAGAATAATCACAAACTTACGAATTCTATAAATATAGTATAACTAGAATTTCAAGTATAATATTTCTTATGACCAATATAAAAAATTTGTAATTCTGTTGCTTAAATTATAACTGACGATTTAATATAGGTCATTAAACCAAAACTAATTATAAAAATGTTCTTTGTAGAATGTTTTTTCAGAAAGTTCTTCATATTTGCAGAAGGTTTACATTATTGAGACGATTTTTATAATTAATTTTTATGCTAAAGGGCATATTTTTTTGCGGAAATTTACTTCTATCCAATAACCTTGATTCTTGGTTGTAGCTCTAGTTTGAATTTTTTATGAAAATAAACTTTTTCTGAGCATGTCAATTTTATACCACTCCTCTTGGGTCATTTTCCTAAGTCTGTAGTATTCTTGGATTCTGTTTCCATACGTATGGTTTAACAAATTGTGCAAAAGTCTGTAGGAGAAGTGTCAAATGATTTTACTGGTATTTCATAAAATGAGATACATTTTATTCCTTTTTCTGATTCTTTCCTTGTTAAATAAGCAGCAGTTGACTTAGATCTGTGACTCAAAACTTTGTTCATATGAAACTCAACTTTATTTTTATTGATGTCCTTTCCATATGAGGCTGGAATTTCTTCTTCAAAAATTAGTTGTAAAATATTCTGTGGTACTAAAAGGAATTTAATTTTAGCCTTTCTAGAAACTTTGTTGAGGTTTAATATATCATTGTAATAAAATCCCACAGCTATCATGAATCCCACTTTAAACTTTCTGTACCTCGATGAAGCCATTTCATACGGTAATTTTTGTCAGTTGAGCAATAGAAAATTTATCTTTTTTTTTAATTATGTTCACTTAAATATACACATGTATCATTTAATGTTTTTGAAAATTTCTATTTATTAGCATATTATATAATTTTCTTCAATTTGTTTTTCTTTCCATAATATGCTTTCACAAGGGTGTTTTTTTTTTTTTTTTCCAGTTTTACTTTCAGCTATACACTTTTTCCCTTTCAAATTTAAAATATTAAAAATACCTTTTTTTGAAATGCAATAACATTGATTTTTACACTGCTATACAATTTGTTCATGTGAATATTTTTCTTCAGAAAGTGCATTTATGTGACCTTCAAGTCATCTACCAATTTTAGGAGCCATTTCCAAAGTAATTCTCTTATTCTGCATTCCTACCTGAAGAAAACTTTTAGATGGCTGGCAGATGATGCCGAAACTTTATCTCAAAATGTTAAGAAGAAAAATCCTTTCCATAATGTGTGAATGATGTTCTGTATTCAGAGGAAATTTTTAACAAACATCTAAACCCTAGAAATTAAACTTTTTCTAAAGTTAAAAGAATGAATTATATAATCAAATTATATCCTAAAACTTTCGAAAAAAAATTTAGCTTGTTATTGACATCAAATATTTTACTTTGAGGTATTATATAAAATCTTGATTTTTCTGTCTATTCTGCAATTTTAAATATTCTTTACATAATTTGTTTATGCAAGGAAAAAATTTTTCTTTGTTGAACTATCACGAGTTGTGTACTAAATATGCAAATTCTAAATTGTGACATTAAGCCATGAGAACTTTAATATTTAGCTGTGCAAAGTATTTAGAAACATTATTGCTATCATTAGTTGGAAAAGCAATTAATGAATGTTAATAATTTTCTTGTCCTGTTTCAGTTATAATACTTAATGTTATGCTTTCTTTAATTTTCTATGGCTTATATGTAATTTTTTAATGGTTTTTGATGCCACATGGGGAGACATATAGTCTTTACATTTGCTAAAATCACACAAATACCTAATAATGTCACATGAAGCAGTACCATGTCAATATCAGTTATAACCCAAAACAAAATTCAAGCTTAGATTATTGCTTGTTTTATTGAAGAAGTTCTATGCATTTCAAACAGGGTTCGTACAGTTCTTAAGAGTCCTTAAAAGTCCTTAGGTTTTTTGGAATCGCTTTTTGGTCCTTTAAAAGTCCTTAATTTTGGCCAAAATCGGCAGAAAGTCCTTAATTTTAATCATCTGAAATTTCTGTCTGTTTTTAAGACTGCCATTTTGAGTGTGAATTAGCATTTTAAAGGAATATTTTTGGTGATTTACTGACATATATGGTTACCTTTTGAATGGGTTATAATTTGTTGTTGTTTCTAATATAAACAGTGGTATACTCGAGTTTCTAAGCAAGAAATGAAACATAAGTATTTCGAAATTCATTTTTCCTAATGAAGAGCTCTTAGACAACTTTTTGCTTTTGGGGATGTGAATTATTTTATTAAACAGTTCTAAATTTGGCGACTTATCAACATTTTGGCAATTTTAAGATCAATTTCTATAGAAAGATTTTAATTCTGAGATCTGGGAATTTTTTGACGATTTTTTTAAGACATTGTAACATTGATAAATTTCATTAAAATAATAATAATGTATTGAAATTATATTAAAAAAATTACATTTAAATTAAAAATTTTATTTTTCTCTGTCATATTATAAAGTTCTATTTTATCATCTTATTATGCAATTTTAAATCTAAAAAATAACAACGTAAATGCTTTAAAGTACAGTTTACCAAACAGCAAATGCAAAATTAGCTGTGTAATTAATTAAAAATGTCTTCTTCCTAATTTTTTCGTAGAAAGAGTTTTTCCCATGTAATTTTCTCAGATTATGCATCGGTTTTCTCCATAAAATTAATTTTACACTTTTTCCCTCTTTTTTTTTTTTTTTTTTTTTAATATTTCTGGCTTTTTGCTGTTACAGAATTGGTAGGGATAATTTTTTTTAGGGACTTCAGACATTACAGCCTGGAAAGTTTAGGAGGATTTGAAGGCTAGATTTGTAGACCTACGATTCTAGAAGATTCGAGAAATATGTGACAAAATGAAAAATGTCTCCATGGTATTTTACAGAGAGTTTGCAATAAATTTCTTACTATATGGAGAACGTCTAGAAGAACAATGAAAACATAATATTTGAATGTTTTACCTTTGATACTAGAATGTTTATCTTAACGTGTTTATCTTCCCTTTATTTTCTGTACTTTTCATTAGGCACAAGCATAAAATGTCAAAAAATGCTTCTAATCTTTATCACAATTGCAGGCGTGGAATTAAATGAATAAAAAAAACTGAAAACTTCAATTTAAAAATTCATCTAATATGTTTTAAATACATCATAGAGCTAGAGCTAGGATTTTCCTACTATATGCAATCTCCGTGGATCTTAAATTCTGCTGCCTAGTGCCTTTCAAAATCTTGCTTCTAGTGCCTGCTGTAAATTCTAAACATTTTGCAATTTCTAGATTTTGTTGCTTGGTGTGTCACTAAATTCTAAAAATTCTGCCATACCAGCTCTGTAACTGACCCTTTCTATATATATTTCATATTTCTTCTGAATAAATATTACTAAGAATAAATTAGCGCTTTTCATACATTCTAACGCATTTTTTTTTTTTTTTTTTTTTTTTTTTTTTTTTTTTTTTAGAATAACAGAAATCCTTATTTAAATCTGATAATTCTAAAATGGAAAGGAATCATGTTGAAGAAGAACCTGAATCATAAAGAAATTATTCTCAAAGATATTTACAGTTATTATTATGTAAATTACGCTGTTGTTAATGATTTCAGCCTTGCTATAATTTCCATTTCTTTTTCCTCATATGATAGAGTTATTGAGCCAACTTAAATTAAATTGCATAGGCTTTGACTACTAAGTCCATATGCGTCATGATTATCTCTTTCTATACACAATAAATTACCGCTAATCCACATTTTTAGTTTGAATTTGACTGTTCTTGTTTAATTATATCACCATGAGGTGTAATTGATTTTGTTAGCATCAGAACATGCCTTTATGTTCTAGTTCTTTTTAAATAAAAAAGAGGCTTATTTAAACCTTTGTCCAACATTGTAGTTACTTTCAGACATAATTTGCTTCACATCTGTCAAGGCGTTTTGGACTATACAGTCAAAAATCTTTAATCCGGACTCGTTGGGACTTCAGTGATTCCGGATTATCAGTTTTTCCGTATTATAGATCATAATTTAAATTGGTAAGATGGCATGCCAGAATTATAAATTAAAATATGAAACTGTATTTATGAAATAAGAGCAGTTATGATCTAAAGGTATCAAATTTACAAAAAAAAAAAAAAAGAAGCTTAATATTTATGTGTTTATTTTTAAACATTTCTTTCAACACGCACGTGTGTAAAGCATATATTACGCATAGTCGAAATTAGAAAATTGCAACCAGAAAACTATTTGTGTATTCGTGATATTTATAATGATGAAGAATTTGATTTAAATCATATCAAAGACAGAGTACATCAAGATGAAATATTACATTTAGTAAGGAATTATAAGTAGAATAAAATAAAAGCATCTATTTCTGAGAATAAATGATAGAGAATAAATGCTGAAGATGAGGATAGTGCTGACAGATGAACTTCCAGTTCATTGCGCGCCGCGACTCCCCCCCCCTGTATAGCACGTGAAATTGATTACAATATGGAATAGTTAAAGAAACAAAGGATATGCCTTTATCCATTTTTTTGCAGCAATTCCACTTTTTGTTTGAGGACATCGAAACATGCTTTCCGCTTTGTAGAATCCTTTCGCGGCTCCAAATCAGAATTCTTTTTGACATAATCGACAGTTCAAGCTCTTCTTTTATAAAACTGCTCAAACAGTCTGCAAAAATAAAAGCTGGATCCAATTCGAAGATTAAGGAACAACGAAATCCGCCCATTACTGAAATAGATAATTAGATAATTTAAGCCTAGCTTATACCGTCCGTTATACATTAACGCGCATGCGTAAGCACATTATGCGTTTACGCATGCGCAGGAAGTTTGTAGCTTTGAGGTCCGGATTATAGATATCCAGATTAAAGACTTTTGACTGTATAACTTTTACCAGATCAAGTAAACCACTCATAAGTACATTGTGGAGAGGTTATCAAGTTAGGAGATAAAGCAAGCAAAAACTAGTGAAAACACTAGGTTTGCATATTGAGACAAATTTCTGATTGTTAGAAAAGATGCTTAAATAGAAGTAAATCGAAACAAATTAGCCAAAATGTCTGCGAAGGCTTCAAATTAAAAAGACGCATAAATATTTTGAGTGTTCTTGTTACAAAACGTAAGTGTTTTGTAGCATTTAATGTGCAGTTATCCTAATATCATTTAAGAATCCATGTTATAAATTACATGCATTTTAAACTGTGAAATTTTATTCGATTGTGATTTTAAAGGGCTTTTTTAATAAATAGTGTTAAAAAATAAATAAAATTTAATAGTGGCCATGTAAATCCATAATGACTAAGGTTATCTAACTACCTAATTTCATTATTTATAACTAACTGCTTATCCTTAAAAATTATCTCTGCATATTAAGTGAGTTATTGAATTTCATTATCCTACTGTGATTACAAGAAAAAATGTAACACAAAATGTAAAAATTCATGTAACACTTTTTCTTTGCATATAGGAGACTTAAAATAATACAAAACAACTTATCTCCCTGGGCTTAGTGACTTATTGGACTTAAAGTATTTAGCTGGTTACAACCCTGGATCTACATGAAGCACTACACTATAACTGTGTCAGACAGAGCCCAACTCCTTCAAAACTTTGCCAACCGTGCCCTACATAAGCCTTTCAGGTCTTCTTCAATCAGCCAGTCCTTCTCTGAGGCAAGCAGCTGCAGTGACAACTCTAGTCTTTGGTTTAATCATGTTATGATCTTACTTTTTATTTTAACCTATCCGCTTGACATAAAATCTACCTGCCTTTACTAAACCTCTAGATTCGCAACGCTGTGACAAAATGAGCTTTAAAAAAAATCAACGTAAACTAACTGTTAGTAAAACATAAATAAAATGTCACTTTTCTTCTTCAAATTTTCCAACATTTTGAGTATAATATTTAATGCTACTTGATAAATTTCATGAATTTTATTTTATTCTCAAACTGTCAATAATTATGTTAATTAATTCATGTTTAATAAAATGCATCCTACTTAACGGATCTATTTTGGTTTTAGGATGGTATTACCAGTGCAGGATTTTGTTATAAGCTATACTACAAACTATAGCTTAGGGCACCACTTTTTGTGGACCCAAAAATTAAATATAGTATAACAGACTCATAATGGCCCATATCTCAAATAGCTTTTGCCTTATCAAGTCTAAACACGCTATGGTATTACAAAAGTGAAGTCAAGCATAATAATAATTTTAATAGAATTTATTCAGTTCCCATTTGCTCATAGGTCCTTAATTTTTTTCATTAATGGTCCTTAAAAGTACTTAATTTCCATGTGCAGAAATGTGTACGAACCCTGTTCAAAAGAGGCAAGCTGTTCTACATGAAGTGAAAATATTCTGGTTTCTTAAAGAAAATAAATCTTTTCAAAATCAAGCCTATCTTTCTTAAAAAATATAATTTTTTGATTAAATCAGTCAAAGACTGATATTTATTTAATTTCGAAGTGCAGATTTTTATCTAATTTGGAAATTTGAAAAGGGAAATTAAAATCTTTAAAAATATCATGACCCTTCTAATACAAAAGAATTCTGAATGTTTATTATAAATTTCAGTATATAGATGTTGATTGGAGGTACTGATTCTTCTAATTCAAATTTTAGCAGCGTTATATATTGTTATGATTTTTCTTTTCTGACACCAGTTGTTGCATTATTTTCTTCCTTCACATTCGTACGGGGTTCGTGTGGATTTGGAGTAAAAAACGACGACACTTGATGAAGTATCGAAACACACTTTATTGGCCGGTATTAATCAGAACAGCCTCCAATAACACTTTTTATAGTTGTCGAAGATCTATAAACATGCTGGAACAATCAGTGACACAGCCTTCACACTGTCAGGCAATAACGGTGGAGACAGCTTCCTGCAAAGCACCCGACTCTGCTTTCCGGAGTACAGCTCCCGACTCTGCTTGGTCGTTCTCGGAACTCCACGTACTCTCGAGACTCTCCTCACTACAACTCGCGATGCACTCTACGACTTACGAGCACAGCTCCTGACTCTTTGGTTCAGTCGTTCCTGGAGCTCAATGCTCTCTCTCGACAATGCACTAACAGCAATACACTACGAGACTCTTTCGATGCGAGGCACACACACTCGATGATAGACGTACACTGACTGACTGCGGACCAGCAGGGTTTATATAGCTTTCAGCTTGTGTTTGGGAACATTCTGGGCTAAACCGGTAAGAATTCATTCCAGAAGGTTCTCCAACCGTCCATGGTATATCGCCAATTTTGTCGCCAAATGGGCGATTTCTTGCCAAATATGGCAACCCTAAAACTGCTTTGCGGGGAGCCATCTTACTGTGCCTGACCATTTCGTAACAATATTATTAAAGAAAGTATTGCCTATTTAAGTTATATATTAAAATGTGATTTTGGAAGAAATAAAGTGTGTCATTTTATTTTTCTTAATTTGCTTACTATCTGTCCTTACAGGCTGTTTTACTCATTGGAGAGCAAGGCACAGCAAAGACGGTAATGATCAAGGGTTATCTTAATTCAGCTGATCCAACACAATACATGTGGAAGAATCTAAGCTTTTCTTCAGCAACAACTCCACAGATGTTTCAAGTATATAAAAATAACATTGTCAATAACATAATTGTATATTACTTCATTTGTAATAATTTGACATATCTTTCTGCCTGTAAATTTTGTTTTCAGAGTCTAAATGTGCAAAATTAGTCTAAATGTGCAGCTCTTCATTGCAAATTTTCAAATACATTTTGATAGAAAGACTAATTCTTGTTCAGAAGATTATAAAGAAAACACTTATTTTTTATAAACTATGGAAAAGAAAAAAATCAGTTTCCGCCTACCTATAAAAGTGCCAGTAAAATTAGAAATGCAACAGTCTTGAGTTTGGCATAGATTTAGTCAATATCTCAATTGATTTTGCAGGCAAACGGGTACATGTTCCTCTTTATCAGGAGCAAAGAAATCTGTAAGACTGAAAAAGAGTCTTTATTATTTATTTAGTTAGTTTATTGCTTAAAGCAAAGTGCATAAGGGCTATATGTGTATGGGGAAATATGCCTTTGTGAATAACTTTCTTAGAGTAACTGGTTCATATTTAAGTAACACATGGAGAAAACTATATAAACCCCCATTCAATCAGCTCATTTGCTGAGGTTTGAATCAGATTTACATATTGATGTCTTGCAATCCATAATGTGTGAGGGAGAAAAGAGTACCTTTGCAATTTCATAAAATCATGCATAGTTTACTTAAAAAAAAAAAAAAAAAAAAAAAAAAAAAACGGTGTCTGTCAGCTACATATTGCTTCTTATATATAATTTATCATCATTTCATTTGCTTTGATTCATTTATTATTGTTATTAATATTAGCATTGACAAAAAAATTTTATATTTCCATATTTTAAAATTTTATTTCAAAAAACTTTTATATAAAAATATATAATTTTAGTTTAAATTTTAGAGAGCAGTAGAAAGCTGTGTTGAAAAGAAAGTAGGAACAACATTTGGCCCACCTGGTGGAAAAATTATGACTATATTTATTGATGACATTAATATGCCTGAAATCAATGAATGGGGAGATCAGGTATTCTGCAATAAGTTTTATTTGCTTTAATGTAATAGTTGATATTCATTTCTAGGCAAAATATCTAAAACTGAAGGTAAATATTTTTCATGAGCACAATTTTAAAACTGAGAGGACTGCACCAAAGAATTAATTTTCACTAAAAACATAAATAAGTCAAAAGTGTTGACTTAACAAAAATGTTAATGGGATTGAATATATGTGTTTGCTATAAATCATTAAAACTGGTTGTAATTTGTATTATTAAAAAGGAATGCAATCTATATCACAAACATGCTCCTGTCTTGACTATTTTGAATGCCTTTTATTTATTTATTTTTTATTGTTAATGTTTACTGCTTATCCAAATCAGTGTCTTCAAAAATGCTCATCCTAACTTTTGATTATATTTAAATTTTCATATAATTTTTAAATAATTAGAGTTCTCCACACCCTGTGATTAGTCTAAATTTCTTCGCTTACTTCAAGAATATTTTGATTATAAAATTTTAGTAAACAGTTTCTTTATCATGAGTTGTGCAAAAAATTTCCTCCTATGCAGAAATCACTTTTCTTAAAATTTAAAACTGACGATACAAATGTGGAGTGTCTGATGTCAAGGCAACATAAGTCAGAATGTTACTGTTGTATATTAAATATGCAGTATGTTTATCCAAAGATGTTTCAAAATTTTTTATTTTAATCTAGCTTACCAAGTCTTTTCCCCCAATCTTTCAACAGCTTTTGAGCTAAAATTTTTTGTAATAAAGTGCTATCACCATTCATGTAGTTTAACTACAAAATTTACCTCCTATATATATATTCTTTATTCTTTAAATTTCATTAATTTTTTGAGTTAGGCTATTACTTGTTTGAACTATTGTAGATTTAATATTTTTTTTTAAATTCCTTTTTACATTTATAGGATTTTATGAAATTTATTGTTTATGAATTTCAATTTTTGGTCTTTGTGAAAAATTGTTTAATTTTCCACATTATAATTTTTCTCTAAATTTCTTACTTATATTACATTTTTTTTTAAATGTAATGTAATTGTACATATATAAACACACACACACAGGTGTGGTAATTCTGGTAAAAGCATTTTGCTAGCATTTCCCATGCAAACTGTGAGCAATATGTATCACTGCACAATTGTAGAGCTCACCAACATGCAATTTATAGTGGGAGTGTCAGCTAAAATAGAGCAGCTATTCAAAAGAGACAGGAAACTATTCATGAGTACATCCTTTTGAACTGCTGCTCTGTTTTAATTCATAGCCCTATAAATAAAATGCATATTGATGAGCTATGCATTTGTGTAGCAATGCATGTTGCTTGAAATTTGCACAAGGAATAACAACAGCTTATGACATCAGAACACTTTTACCTACTATTCAACAGTGCACTGTACTACTTCAACAAGCCATTTTGCCACACACATTCCACATACAAATCACAAAATCTGTATATTTCAATCTACTCTTAACTCTTCTCCATTTTTTCAGATATTGTGGAATTATCTTGTATGTATGTATATATATATATATATATATGTCATAATAAAGCAAAGGAAAAGACGGAACACTGTAGATACGTGATTAGACCCATATTGAAGAAGATTTTGATTGCGTAGTCTGCTAGTAATGCTAACTTGGTAATATCTAAAGAACTTGGCAGTCGAGGCAGTTTTAATTTCCATTTTTTTGGCAGCTGATATTTGTGGCCACAATCACTTGGCACTCTCTATCTTGCCTTTCCACAGAAAGATTACATTTTTGATATTGTTGAGATAGAAAGCAGCCAGCAAAATTACATCTTAATCACAGTAAGAGCAAAAGCTGAAGTGCGTAGTTATGCAAGATGGAAGCACGCGAAGAGAAAAGTTTTGTTTACAATTATTACGTCATCAGAGCTGCGCAGGCCATAGAGTGATCTAGAAATGACGCAATGCTGAGAAGTTATTACAATTTTATAACAGAGAGGAAGAATTAATGTTTGTAGTTATATTATAATTTTGATTCATATATTTTTATCTTACATATATATATATCATGATCTAGATCAAGGATCCCAAGCTTTTTCTTGCATTATTACCCTTTAATAATTAAGAATATTTTTTTCCATCAACCTCCTTACGTTTTTCTGTATAATGTACCAAAAACAACATAATTATCATACAAATAATTTAATCTAAATCACTAAAAGATAGCAATCAGACTAAGAATGTGAAAAAAATTGAAAAGAATGTTTCGTTAGATTTATGTTTTATTTTTCTGTGTAATATTATTATTTTAAATTTTACGAATACTAACAAGTTTTCAGCAAAAAAATCACAAATTATAATTGCACAGATGTTTGATTTTAATTAATTGAGAGCTGCATTTGAATACTGTTACATTTTTTTTTTTTTTTTTTTTTTTTTTTTTTTTTTTTTTTTTTTTTTTTTTTTTAGTATTTGGCATAATATTTCTTACTAATCCTTAGGTCACCTCCTTCCAAAGTATAACCTGTTTCTTGTATTCACTGCTTCTACTAAGTAGGAAGAGAGAAAAGTCAATAATGTTGGTTTGGTAACAACTTTTATCTTGAGCTATTGCTCTCAGATGACTTTTAAATTCCAAAACTTAGTGTGCCTATGTGTTTTGAATAATATTTGTGTTTAAACATCCTCCTTCAGTATAAAATGTATTCAACTCTTCATGCATCATAATATCAAAGGTATCACTGATCAGCTGTTCTATGAGCTATGCTGGCTCATCAGAAAGCTCATGAGAAAAGTCAATAATGTTGTTTTCTTAACAACTTTTACCTTGAGCTATTGCTCTCAGATGACTTTTAAATTCCAAAACTTAGTGTGCCTATGTGTTTTGAATAATATTTGTGTTTAAACATCCTCCTTCAGTATAAAATGTATTCAACTCTTCATGGATCATAATATCAAAGGTATCACTGATCAGCTGTTCTATGAGCTATGCTGGCTCATCCAAATTTTCAATGTCTTGGATGGGAATGTTAAAATCCTTTAAATTTTGCATTTGGCTTGTATGTAACAATACACCTTCTGAGGAAGTTTTGCATTCTTATTATTTTTTAATTTAATTTTATTGTGTTTCTGCTTTTTACTTTTTATATTGCACCTTTTGCATAAAAAATATGTATTAAAAATATTATTGTCTTTTAAATATAAAGAATTATTTCTTAAATTGCAAAAAAGAAATGTGCTTTCACCTAATAACATCTGTATAATCATGTCATATTTAATGTTCTCTTCTGTTTCATTCTTACTTATAGAATACCTTTCTGAAAGAAAGTGTAAAAAACATTTATATGCATTATTAAAAAAAAGTGCTAATCTGTTTAGAATGTCAAAACTGTACCGCAAGAAATGCATTTTTTTCCGGGGGGGGGGGGTGAAAAACATTTTGTTAAATTTAAGTTTTTTGAGTCCTTAGCAATAAACTATCAATAATATTTGTATATTGTTCAAAATTTTATATAAATTTGAAACTAGAAACTATTTATAACACTAAATAAATACCATAGTTAGAAGACAATTATATAAAGAAGGATTAAAAAGTTGAAAATAAAAAAATTAACTAATAAATCAGTGCAAAGGAACTTTCTGTTATTTATTAATTAGTCATTAAAAATGACTGTAAATAATAATGCTGTCAAATCCTGCTATAACAAACTTCATGGTATCAAAAGTTTCTTTTACTGTGTCCAGCCTGAATTAAAAAAAAAAAAAAAAAAAAATAGATTAACTCCCGAAAAAGTATAAAAATTGACTGACACAGTAAAAATTGTTTAACATTCACACACAAAAAAAAGGGGGTAATAATAACTAAAATTTTTTAAATCATGTTAAGAGTTAATTACCATTTTTATTTTGTGCAAGTAAAAAATGCAATTCTTACATTTGTTTTCTTTTCTTTCTTTTTTTTTTTTTTTTTTTTTTTTAGTTTCACTATGTGTTGTTAATTTTACATAATTACTTAACATAAATTTAATCATTCAGACTGTATCTTCAAAATACTTATCTCCTAAAATATACATTTATAATTATGAATAATCATTTTGTTCAAAATATAAGAATACTAGATAGAAATAACGAAAAATATTAACGAATTTACCTCTAGTGTCTGAGTATAAAAACAATCTGATTTTCTACTGGAATAATGTAGATTGCAAAATAATTTTTTCCATACTTTTGTCCAAAAATTAAAAGAACTCCACTTTTATTACTTCAGTTAATACAGTGTGATTATAATTAAAGTTGTGATTTCAAAACACTCTAACTTTAAACTTACTTCTCAGAATGATTTGATATTTTATTAGAAAATCATGAGGCAATGGAATTTTGTTTGGAGAAGGAAAAAAAATAGTTTCAAAATATGCTGATAGATGGTGCTATCAGAGTTCACATTGCTGTTGGTATGCAAATTACTGAGACATAACATGCGCACTGCAAATATGGCTAAGATAAAAATTCAGAGCACCAACAACATATATAACACTTTGCCTGAATGCTTCATCACAACTCTGACGAAAAAGGATTGTACTCTTCTTGTGAAGCTTTTTTGTCAGAATAGTGACTGAGCCTTAACAGCTATCAGGAAGTTTTGAACATTAAAAGGCAAAAAATCTGGCCCAGTGATACACATGGCCTGTAGAACATGATAGATAAATTTTAAGAGACTGGTTCATTTGACGTGAATCAACGTAGAGGACGGAAACTAGTTTCAGCTTCGGCAGTTGAAAGTGTTACAATAACAACAAATAATGTTGCAGGAATCAGCAGTGCACGGGGTATTTGCTGAATGTTAGATATGCCTATCAGCATGGTGCATAAAGTCCTACGGAACATTTTTCGCTGTTACCCGTATAAGATAACTCATGTACAACAGTTGCTACCTGCTGACCTGGAAACATGTGAATCGTTTGCACTACAGTTTCTTGCCTGTGGCGTTGAAACATTCTGTGGTCTGAGACAGCTCATTTCCATTTGCTAGGTTCTGTAAATACTCAAAATTGCAGGATATGGGCGACTGAGAATGAGTTCCCAATACAGTCTGAAAAGGTCATTATGTGGTGTGAAATAATGGCAGCATTAGTTATCGGTCCATTCTTCTTCAAGAAGAAGATCACACCTGCGAGTCCCATTACCTACATCATTACTAGCAAGTAGTATGAAACACTTTTGAGTAAGCATATCCTTCTGGCACTTCAGCAACATCAGTGTGTGGATCGCACAATATTCAGGGAAGATGGTGCTCTGCCGCACATTGCTACTCATGCGAAGCAGCTGCTGCTTTCGGAGATGACAGAATTATAAGCTGCCATTTTCCAACAGCATGGCCGCTACACTCTCCCGACTCAAGCCTGTGTGACTTTTAGCTTTGGAGATATGTGAAGAATTTAGTTTACAGTGGGCAGATTGCAAATCTGGCCGACTTGAAGGCAAGCATCATGCACCACATTCATAGCATCAGCACAGATATCCTCCGATCTATTGTGGAACATATAGGTGAATTTCTATCACATAATATTTACTAATACAGAATGCAGACATTTAAGTCAAATAATAAAGTTTAGACTTTCTGAAAATGATGAAAAAGGAAAATAATTTCATCACTTATCTGTCCTATCGAGTAGCCAAGGAGAATTCATTCATTCTCCCTAAGATATATACAGACACTTCCTACATGACAAACGACTTATACTGAACAATCACTCAAATGATGAATGTATCCATAAAATGTTACTATGTTCCATACATATATCTTCTAATAATATCCATGCGATAAGAGCTATAAATACTTAAATAATACTTTTGAATTTTAAACACATATTATAAATAAATAAAGAATTGCTTTAATATACAGTACATGCCTTGGACTGTCATCTTTCAGGAATGGGGGAATGGGTTGAGGATGAGGTTAGTAGATCTTTATGTAGGTGAATGTGAATCAACATCTGACTCTCCAGCTGAAGACTGATCGATAAATAAAGGGGGCATTTGGGATAAGGACACTGTATGAGAGTTGAAAAGAATTGGCATGTTAGCTGGGGCATCAAGGCTGATTTCTAAAATGTCTTAAGAAAATAAGTGTCTAACATATCTAAACATGATTTTTTTTTAATTTCATCATAAATAAGATAATAGCACTGTATGGCATCATGCACAGCAGACTTTACTTTAGCAAATCTCTGAGAATTGGGGTCTTGGTTTTCCAAAAGAATGAGACTTTCTTTAAATTTGGAAAATGCTACTGCCAATAACTTTGTATCAAACTTTTTACTGGGCAAGCCTCTTCTTTCTCCTTTCTTTGTTACTCTTTGAGATCTGATGATTGAATCTGCATTGCAATCTTGACATGTGCAGTTTTTGACAAATATGGGATTTTTGTTCTTAATTGTTTTGATCATTAAATGATTTATGCCACTAGAATGTGTGACATTTCACCTTTATCTCACCACTTATAATTGTAACTTTTATGTCGAATAAAATGGCTTGTCACTTCTCTGCACACTGTCAGTATCAGCACTTAATTTACTCTTTTTACCAATTTTTTTTTTTTTTAATATTATTTATTTTCTTTTCAATTCTGAACAAATTTTACTCAGAACAGGCTTGTTTATATCTACAAAAGTACATAAAGTGAAAGTTTTTTTTAATGGGGAGCGTCTGTATATGACTGCTAAGTAAAAAATGTATTAGCCCTTGTAAAGAATATCCTAAATTTTGCAAAAGATCTGATGAATATAAAATCCCCATTCAAAAAGCAAAACTTAGAGAATGCTTTAAGTATTATAGCATAACAAACCAACAATGATTAAAATTTCAAAGTATGACTTCTTGCTTTGCTTTAATCAAGTTTCACTCATTGAAAATCAATGAGATAAAGGAATGGAATTTCTTCTGTAAGTATTGAATGTAAAACTTTCTCTTGATAGTATGTTGAAATGATTTTAACATTTTTTTTTGACTCTATTTTTAATTTTTCATTCTAAGAGAATCATGCAACAACCATAAACCCCTTATTGAAACTTTCTTTGCATTGACAAAATGAGGTGTGTACTTTTTTTTTTCCCTCTTAATTTTCAGTAGGTAGACCTTTTTTTGTTGCAGTCATTTAGGTAAATCCATGCTTCATGAAGAGTCACTATGCATTTCCATTTATTTTCTAGCCCACCAGTGGCTGAGTGGTAAAGTCGCTGAATACTGATAGTTCAGTCCGAGGTTCAAATCCTGTAAACAGGCTGGCTGCATGGGCATTTTCATTGTTTTTTCCATGTGTAACATGTATATGAGTCAGTTTTCCTTAGAAATTCTTCCACAAAAGTATCCCTTCCTCTAGGCAGATAGCCTTTGAGTGCTTTGCCATAGTCAAATGAACCAAACCAGACCATTTATTGTCTAAATATGTTGAGCCATATGCCTTGACAAAATCCGGTGAACATTGTTTTTAAATTGTAAATCTTGATTTATTATTTTATTTATTGGTGCTACAGATATAATTAAAGACTCTGCAACAGCAGATTTTCTTTTATTACTGATGAATGAACTTAGAAGAATTAGAAACAGCACATACTTTTTCAGGTGTTCATCTGGAGTTTTCTTTCCACGTAGAACTAATGATTGATTATTTTTCCTTTCTGATAAAAAATGCCGCTTATTTTGCACTTGGAAGTTTTATACAATGCACTTTCCAGTGTTTAGGAATTGGAAATAGGAAAATTTCTCTTCCAAAAGCACAAAAACATATCCTTGTTATCCACAGCTTGTTTACATGCAACATTTTGAAAGAAGAATAAATTTAAAAGTATCAAATGATATTTCTCATTTCAAACAATAAGCTTCTGCCAGAAATTTATATTCCAAAACAGTTGCTTTTTTTAAAATTATTTATCGAGATTGTTCTAAAAATGTATAAACACATTCTGTACAATTTCTTTGTACACAAATTCTACAGTTCTTCAGTGCTAAAATTTCTTTTCTTTAAAAGTGTCAGCATAATTAGATTCTGCTGATCGATGAAAATGCAGATATTATTATTATATTATTGTTTATCCAGTTTCGAATATTTCTTCTTTTTATGAGAGCTAGCTGAATTTTAATTAGCTTCTTTCTTATTTTTGAATGTTATTCCTTTTACAAACAAAAAAATTTCAAAAAATACATCACCCATCTGTTTTTGATTGTAATTTTTTATACTTTTTTGTCTAACACAGGTGACTAAACACAGATCATTTAGACATTAGTGTCTTTAAAAAACACACACTTTTTACTCATTTTATTTCAAGAATTATTTTTTCTTCTTACATGGATTGGTAGTGTTATTGCCGAATGCATTTTGCAACATTCAAAACTGTACACTTGTGCAAAACAATTTTTTGGTTTTAAAAAAAAGGAGACTATATTTTCACCCTCAAAGTGTACCTAAAATTTATTTCATTCACTTATTAACATAATTCAGTTTCTCGTTGATATGATAAATTTGTGTCCTCATTTATGAATATTGAAGTTAAATTTCATAAATCACACCATTAATTATTAAGTAATATATATAAATATTTCACTAATTAGTTAATAGCATGTTCAGTATTTTGTAATATTTTTATGAAATATGTTTTGTTTTCAAAATAATTTTTAAACCTCTTGTATTTAGAATGATAATTTGTTCTAAGAGAACATCAAACTTATATGACCCTCATTTTTATAGCGTTTCTCATTCAGAATATAATATTCTAGGTTACAAATGAAATAGTAAGACAGTTAATGGAAAATAAAGGCTTTTATAGTTTGGACAAACCAGGAGATTTCACAACTATAGTAGATATACAATTTGTAGCTGCAATGATTCAACCAGGAGGAGGAAGAAATGACATTCCAAGTAGATTAAAAAGACAGTTTTCAGTTTTCAACTGCACTTTACCAGCACCAAGATCCATTGATAAAATATTTGGTTTGTATTTTGATACTTATTCCTAACAGCAAAATATTGCTTATTAATAACACTTGAATTCATGCCTTTTTCTTCTTTTTCTTTGTTAATGAGTTGTTAATGTTACATATGGCTTTATTGGCAATCCAAACATATAAAACAATTCAAGTATCACCCAAGAACAATGATATATAATAAAAAAGAACAAAAATTTAATGTAAGAACCAGAACAAATTAAGATGGGAACAAAAGTAAAAAGTTAAAAATGAGAAGGAAAACAAGAGATCCAGTCTTTACAAGGAGTTAATGAAAGTTCTGGTATTCCAGTATAGTTTGCTTATCTCACCACATTTGCTGAGACGCTTTATTTAGTTCTGGGCATATAAGAAGATGCTTTGTATTCATGATGCCCAAATTATAAATGATGGAAATATGCCTATTTTATTAAGACGATGTGCCATGCAATCATGACCTGTTTTCAGTCTGAATTTTGCCAGAGCCTCTTGACAGGGTTTTTGACAAAACTTTTTCCGAGTGTCTTGAGTGTTGGCCCAGGACCTTTATCTCCTGGTCAGATTTAAGAGTATCCATTATTTTCTCAAATATATGCTTTTTAAGTGACTGTGGAGGAAGTGGTTTTTTGTCCTGTCCCTCAAGTGTTCTTCTTGCTAGTGAATCTGCCTTTTCATTACCGTTGATACCCACATTTGAAAGGATCCATTGAAAAACGGTTATTTTGTTGTATTTATAAAGAAAGTTCAAGGTTTGTCTTATTTCTGAGATAATCTGGGTATCTGTATTATGATTTATAACTACAGCCTGGATGGCTGCTTTGGAATCGACTAGAATAACTGCTTTAGAGAAACAATTAATCTTTATCTTGAGGTTTTCCACAGCTAGTGAGATTGAAAGGATCTCTGCATCAAAATTCAACGTGAAGTGTCCCACAGGAGTACATTGGGAAAAGAGTTTACTGTATTCATCAACCTCAATGTTGTCTTATATTTTAGAGCCATCAGTCTTTGTGAATTTTATTAATAAATTACATAATATATTTTAAATCTAAAGCTGGAAATGTAAAATTAGATATTAACATATTATGATCATATTGCTAAAATCCAAAATAAACTGATTTTTCAGTTATATTTAAAAATGTAATTTTCATTGTGTTCATGTGACTCAAAATGTAAGAAATATTCTATAGTATTTTGTTTGTTTTGTCGTAGTTTGAAAAATTCAGTTGTAATTTAGTTTAATGTTGTCCCTCTTAAAGTAGAAAATTTATACCGCATTTAAAAGTATGCTATTTTACTGCAACATTTTGCACATTTATATGTGAACAACATTTATATGTGAAGTTTATTGAAATCTTTGTAAGACTTTCTAATTTAAATACCAACATACAGATCTAAATTAAAGATTAATCACAGATCTAAATTTGCTTATTTCTCAAGCTTGTTTGTGCATTTAATTCAACCAAAGAAAAGCATATATATAATGAAAAAATTTAAGAAAATCTCAAAAAAGAGATCCTGAATATTGTTTTGATAAATGATAGGAAGAAATGTACAATTTTGAAAGTGCTTATTTCAGAAATTGTGTAAAAAACTTAAAATTTTAACAAGTATTGTCATTATTGAAACAAAATATTGGTTTGTTTTTTCAATAATTTTTCATATATTTCAGTTCTTTGTCTTAATAAATGCATAAGAGAAAATCTTCGAAATAAAATTGATGTTGACTTTGGTCTCATCAACTTTTTATCCCATACTAATGCATTTTCTGATTGCATTTACATTCTAAATCATCATTCTTTCCCACATTATACAAACTGTTCTGTTAAAACGACATGAGGGAGGAATTCCTTGCTTGAAAGGCAAAAAAAAAAAAAAAAATTAACCCAAGACCTTTACATTCTCCAGGTTCCAGAAAAAGTATGCCATTTCATCTGGTTCATTAAAAACAAACTTTGTTGAGAACTTTGGTACATGCATAAGACATTATGTATACATAAGAAGATGCTCAAAATAGCTGCTATGCATATTGAGGCATGTTTGTGCATGCCATGGAGTGTCTGAGTGAATATGATCCAGCAATGTGCTCTTCACAAAGTAAATATACTATGAAGACAAGTTCCTAAGTTTTTATCTGTACAGTCAAAAGTCGTTAATCCGGACTCGTCGGGATTTTGGCGATTCCGGATTATCGATTTTTCCGGATTATAGATCATCAGTTTAAATCTGGTAAGATGGCATGCAGAAATTACAAAATTAAAAATATGAAACCGTAATTTATGAAATAAAAAACAATTATGATCTAAAGGGTATCAAAATTTACAAAAAAAAAGCTTATATTTACTTGTTTACTTTATCAAACATTCCTTTCAATGTAAGGTGCTTCGTTTCATGTGATAATACTTTCTCTTTAATTCTATTAAACAGACATAATTTCTTATTTAGTTACAAAGTTCCGCTGTTCAAGTCCTATACTTGCTGTGTTGAGAATACCGACTAAAAATGTTTTCGTTTTCAATAACCTGTGGGTCACTTTCTTCACTATCGGAAGCGAATTATAATGACGAGGAACTTGATTTAAATCATATCAAAGAAGACAGAGTACATCGAGATGAAATATACTTAGTAAGGAATTATAAGCCAAATAAAATAAAAACATCTGCCCTGAAGATAAGGATAGTGCTGACAGATCAACTTCCAATCCGCTGCGTGAAATTGATAAACAGATTTCGGATTTCAAAATATACTTTCACTTTGTAGATACAAATTACATATTAGTAAATATATATCGGAAATTCTATTTGACATAATCGAAAGTTCAAGCTTACTTTTTATGAAATTGCTCTAACAGTCCGCAAAAAATAATAAGCCGGATCCAATTCGAAGATTAAGGAACAACGCAATCTGCAACATTAACTGAATTAAATAATTTTTGCTTAGATTATACCGTCCGTTACACGCATGCGCAAAAACATATTCGCAGCCGTAAAGGTCTTATGCGCACTCGTAAACGCCTGTGCGCATGCGTGAACGCGACGCATGCGCAGAAAGTTTGTAGCTTTGAGGTCCGGATTATAGATCATTCCGGATTATGGGTGTCCGAATTAACGACTTTTGACTGTAGTAACAAGTCGTGTAGTTGTATTCAGTACACCAGTTCTTTTGATGACTCCATAGAAAGAAATCCAAAAGTGTCAGTTCTAACAATTATAGTGACTTTGAAACTGGATACTCATTTCCAATACTGTCATCTGGTATATATTTTATGCCCAACCAATCATGTATAAGAGTACTGAAATATGATGTTGCTCCATCATGATAGAACCATAGGTCACACAGTGCAGGTCACATAGATTCATCAATTGAAATAAATTAATGTATAAGGAAGAAGTATTAAGCATAAATGTGTGGTGAATTGTTAATGCAGAAAATTGTTGAAAATAAAAATACGAGGGCCATCCAGGAAGTAGATTACGTTTCCGTCTGTGTCCGCTAGGGGCGGGGCTAGCGCGGCCATCTTGGGGTCAGAGCGTTGCGCAGCTCAGTCTGCATCTAGCCGTGCTAGTGAGAGGTTCGTGCTGTGCTCCGTTCAGATACTGTGACGGTTTGAAATGTCTGCGTTAATTGAAAATCTGCGAGGTGCGCTCAGTAATAAGGTTTCTGACTGCAAAAAACTGTAAACCGATAGAAATCTATCGGCAGCTTCGTGAAGTGTATGGGGACAACATTATCACTGAAGGTGGAGTGCGTCAGTGGGTCATAAGATTTCAAAATGGCCGAACCAATGTTCACGACGAAGATCGAAGTGGGAGACCCAGCATAGTGACCGCCGAACTTCTCGAAAAAGTCGATGCTAAAGTCCGTGAAAATCGAAATTTCACAATAACGGAACTTTCTTTGAGTTTTCCACAAATTTCGCGAAGTTTGTTGCACGAAATCATCAGCGAAAAGCTTGGTTACCACAAGTTTTGTGCAAGATGGATTCCAAAAATCTTGACAGAGGACCACAAAAATCAGCGAATGGCTGCAGCGTTGAACTTTTTGGACGCTTACCATAAGGATGGTGACTCTTTACTCGATCGCATCGTTACTGGTGACGAAACATGGGGGTGAAACATGTGAACTGTGAAACGAAATTGCAATCAATGCAGTGGGGGCACACAAGTTCTCCCCAAAAACCCAAGAAATGCATGCAAACAATGTCGGCAAGGAAGATGATGGCGACTGTTTTTTGGGACAGAAAAGGTGTAATTTTGGTGGACTTCCTGGAAAGAGGCACTACAATAAACTCTCAAAGGTATTGCCAAACTCTCCAAAAACTCAGAAGAGCAATTCAAAACAAGCGCAGAGGAATGTTGAGCTCTAAGATCTTGTTGATTCACGACAACGCCCGGCCCCACACGGCAAATGTCACTCGTAAAGTTCTTGAATCTTTTAAGTGGGAGTTGTTTCCTCATCCGCCGTACAGTCCCGACCTGGCACCGAGCGACTTCCACCTATTCCCAGCAATGAAGAAGTGGCTGGCTATGCAGCGTTTTGATGACGACGCACAGCTGCAAGAAGAGGTAACGAAGTGGTTGAAGGCGCAGGCGGCCGAATTTTTCGACGAAGGAATTTCCAAGCTCGTACATCGCTACGATAAATGCCTTAATTTGTATGGTGACTATGTAGAAAAGTAGTATTTGAGTGTGGCTTTCATCTGTATATAATAAAATTTGTTTCCTATACTTTGTTTATTTTTTTATTCCAAAACGTAATCTACTTTCTGGATAGCCCTCGTACAATATATTTTTGTAACTGTCTGGATTTTGTTTTAATTTTAAAATATTCATTAAAGTTTTAGTAATATTAAAGTAATTTACTTGATAAAAAAATGTGGTTTTGAAAATGCACCATTGATAACTACTTATGGTAAAGCATAAAATGTCGTAAGCAGGTCATTTATTATAGTAAATTCTTAAGTTCTTTTGATGACTTTTTCGTAGTATGCTTTATAAGGAAACTAACTCATATTCACTGTTTTTCTAGTAAAGTTCCTCCTGTCAGTTGAGCAGCCATAAATTGAATCACGATGAATTACCAGTATTATGGATTTTATTATTCAGCCACTGGTTGGTCCTTAATGTGCGTTAGTTCACATAATTATTTGCAATAATATAATTTTCAGAAAATATTATGGAACTATTTACACATTTCTGTCTTATGTGATGTTAATTTGAACACTATATGCTATAAAGCAAAAGCGAAAGAGCTTAAAATAATCTAGCAAGTACCTAAAATATATAAAATACAGTTAACCACATTCTTAACTTAATGAATTAATAACCACATTTTTAGCTGAATAAAATCAGGCAGGATACTTGACTATTTTGCCAAGTATTTAAAAATTAAAAATAAAAAAAAAATTTAAATTAAAAATGAATTTATTCTTAAAACAAATTGAAGAATAGTTCAAAAAATGTCATTTATTTTATGTTGTAATAATATGTGGGTTGGAAAAAGCATACTGAAGTGGACCAAATAAAAATTAATCTGATACTAAACATGGTGGGATTTGTTTACACATAAAAATGCATAAATAGGTGCAGTTTACCCAAAAAGAAATATATTGTCCAGTGTGTTAAAAAAAAAGGTGTCATGGCAGAAAATGTTAATAAAAACTGGATGTTATAAAAAACTGCATGTGCCCAATAAACTGATATCCTATAAATAGAAACCAATATTGTGTTGATTGAAACTTAAAATTTAAGGAGTGAGGAACACTAATATTCTTAACCTGTTGCTAGAACATAGCATAATAAGCACACTTACTTTATCTTCCAGTACCGATCAGAAACTTAACTATATTTATGTGATTATTTATTTACTAGTAGCTACTTATAATTGATTAATATGGCCATGTAAAAGATTACTAAAGGGAAAATACAAATATCATCAACCTCTTAACAGTACTTGTGAGTTTGAACATAACAAAGTCCTACACTGTAGATTATGAAGCTATGTAGATACCTATTTTCATCCTCCTAAAACCTACATATACGAAAATTTGAATAAGGAAAATAAGTTGAGAAAATAATTCTGCTGAAGGAATTCCAATTATTTTTCTCACAGGAAGAGAATTCTTTGCATCTTAAGTACAGGCTAGAAGCAAGGCATTAATTAGCACATGGAGTTAAAAATGGCAAAACATCTCGGAAATATATTGACTCTCGTGGCATCCTTTACTGAAAAATGAAGGCACTGGAAGAAAATTCTCAGTCTTGTGACAACTTCTTAACTAATTTCTATTATGACAAATTACAAGCTTGAAGAAAACTCAACACACGATTTAACACAGATAGTGGTGAAGAGTAAGGCTGAAGCCTTTTCCATCCGTGCTGTCTGTTGTTCGAGAGAGAGGGAAAACTGGTTCAATGATAATTTAAGAATTTGCTGCATGACATCAAAAATGATTAATTAATTGAAGTTCAAATCCGAATGTTCGCACTCAGTGATTAATTTGTATCAGTCTATTATAACTTCCTTCGTCTTTTAAGCAGGAGCAGTCATAATAGTTATAGAATTCATTTGGAAGCTAGAAACATCAAGTTTCTGTATTTCATACAAGAAATTCCAGACCATTATATAGAAGATTAATCTCTAAATTTTATTTACTTAGTAACCTTATATAAATTATGCCGTTATTTTTGAATTAATTTTTTTTTTTTTTTAAAGAGTTTTATGGAATTGTTTGATAAATTCAGTGTTCTTCAAAGCATATTTTGAAAGCTCACACAACTTATGATGCTGTAATAGTGAAAACAGTGTTAGTTTTAAGAACACTTAATGATATTTTTTTTTTTTTTTTTAAAGTCTTGTAATCTCTTTTTTTTTTTTTTTTTTTTTTTTTTTTTTTTTTTCCTCATTTATCACAGAAATGTTATAACTGTGCCTCAAAATCATATTGCTATATATTTACTTTTTTTAATTAGGCAAATTTTAACATCGGGTTGGTGTTAATTAATGGAAAATGCAGTCTGTATTTCAGGTCAGACTAACATGCTGATCACCTCTTCAACATGGAAAATAAAGCAATTGTAACTTAGATATGTAGCAACTATTAATATATTATATTAATGTTGTAATGTAATGTTTATTTTAATATTTGTAAATGTTTATTAAATTTAATATTATTGTAAATGTTTATTTTAAAATTAAGTTCTTCCTTCTGATATATGTTACTGTATGTTTTCTTAGAAGTTTTAAGCTGTTACCGTATTATACAGGGTGAATCTGAACAAGTGGACAAAAGTTTAAAGGGTGAAAGAAAGCAGCTATACAAGCAATATTCGTCACACAAGTATGGTCAGAACGCAAATAGCTAGCAGCTAGGTAGCGTTGTAAACAAATGGTATAAAAAGGGTCGGTCCTCACACCCAGTGGCATTTTCTACTATGGATAGCTGGTTTATACGAACCATAAAATTTCCAGGGCGATGGATTAGTCGAGGTGGCCCCATAGCTTGGCCACCAAGATCACTGGATCTCTCGTGTTTGGACTTTTTTTCTGTGGGACCATATGAAAGCCCAATCTATGACTGCCCCATTGAAACCAATATGAATCCAGTCTCCAGTATCGCTGTTGTTGCCAGCAATACTCAGGAAATGCCTGTTAACTTCGCAAATGTGCATCAGTCCCTATCCCACAAGTGTGAAGCATGCATTATAGTTGGCGGAAAGTCTTTTGAGCAATTTCTCTGAGCATGTACATCAATTACGTTTCTGTTAAAAATTGTTTTCTGAAGTATCTCCTCTCATTCTTGAGTTAATTTTTATATGTAACAGTGGAAAACTACTCTTTAACTTCTCACCACTTGCATTCCTACCATACATTCTATGATGAATATTGCTCATATAGCTGCCTTCTTTACCCCCCTAAAGTTTTGTTCACTTGTTCAGATTCACACTGTATAAACAAATTGAAATCCATAGTATGGTACAGTATTAATCCATAACACAGTATTAATTAATTTTCATTCCCATCTATTAGTTTTGTCTAATTTGAAAATTATTTTACTAATAGGTGTCATTGGATGTGGATATTTTTGTAAAGAAAGGTTTCCTGATGAAATTGCAGAGTTCATAGAAAGTTTTATACCAGCTACAAGAATTTTATGGCAGGAAACAAAAGTACTGTTTATCTTTATATATGTTTATACGTATATATATATATTTCAAGGAATTAATATCATTCAAAAGATATTGCATACTATATTAATAAAATATGTTATTGTAGCAAAAGATGTTGCCAACTCCTGCTAAATTCCATTATGTCTTTAATCTTCGAGATCTTTCTCGTATTTGGGAAGGTATGCTGAAAATTGAGGAGCCTGAATGCGGTGCAAAGGAAGATTTACTAGCACTGTGGAAGCATGAATGTACAAGAGTAATTGCTGACAGGTAATTGAAGTAACGTTTTTCAATGAACTGAAAGTATGGTTTATCCTCATCAATATTTATATGCTTATTTAATCTTACTGCAAATATTAAATCCTATAGCCATGAATTTTAATTTAATGGACAATAAATTTATTATTTTATCATCTTTATTTTCAAAACTATATGTTTCTAATGAAGGTTGAATTTTTCCAAAACATTTCATCTGACTTATTTCAATTTGAATTATAATTCTTTATTGACAGTTTTTTCCAGATCAGTATTTAGGGCATTTTAAGAAACATCAATCATCAGTATCTGATACTGGAATTCAAAACATGCACAGAACCAATTTATCCTTCAGAATTTCTCAAAATAATTTTTTGGAGTTAATAGTAAATTTGATACCAAAATTCATATAAACCTATTTGACAATGTCAGCTAGGTAGTAAACAGAATTTCATATTTTCCTTTGAATTATTAAATAGTTCTCATTCCCATTTGTAATGCTTAATACAAATTTTATTTACATCAGTAAAATAAAGCAGAGTCTTTTTTTAAATTAGTAATATAAATCCTATGCCAGTTGAATTATTGTTATCACTGACATAATTAATCTCTAATAATTTATTAGTTGTATTAAATATCAATCAGTATTAACTATAATATTACAGAAATTTTACTCAGTATTAGTGATATCACAGAACTAACTGATACTGCCAAAATTTTTTTAAATTTCAAAGAAAATCCTTTATTGCAGCATAAGTAAATAATCCTTGTACTTTTAAGACTGAAGTATATGTATACTTTTTTATAATTATGTATAGTGCAAGATCAAATAGAAGTTTTTATGTAAAGAAGAAAGTTAAGACGTTTGCATTAAAAAAGTTAATGTTATCCCATTTCTGGAAAAGTTTTGTTGAGCTGATGTTTAGCATTGCAAACTTGAAAAAATAAATAACCTTATATTCAAAATTGCAAGTCTTATCATACTATGTAATGAAAAATGTAATTAATTTTACAATAGAAAAAAGTATTTTTACCTTTACACCTATGTGAATTAAGCTCTGAATATATTATAATACAGAGTAGCTATAGTACTTAGATGATAGGCTTATAAACTAGTAGATTTTTTTAATTGTTTTTAAAATAATGCACTTATTTAGAAAATGTAATTTTTCAGGAATTATTATTATCCTGCAAAATTATATATTCGGTATAATGATAATTTACTTTCTGAATGTTAATAGATTATTTACAGATGGATTTTGCATTAATTATATAAATTTTGCTTGATTAGACCCTCTTAAAAACTTCAAGCATAAAGTTTTGAAGAATTATTTTTAGAATAGTTAGTAGTTACAGTATGCTTACTCTTTTGCCAATTGATCACAAGTATGCAGAATTGATAAATTATAATTCATCAGTATTTGGCTATATTGTGTTGCTTTTTAATCTGAAAATGAGTTTTTTTCTGTCAGGTTTACAAATGAAGAAGATAAAGACTGGTTTCTGAAAAAAATGACTAAAGTTGTGGAAGAAGAAATAGGACCAGAATATGCAAAACTTTTGCCAGAGGAACCATATTTTGTGAACTTTATGAGAGATCCTCCTGAACCAGATGACGATGAGTCGGAAGTAATTCTTGAAATGCCGCTTATTTATGAGCAAGTAAGCAGTAATGGCCTTGTTTTCAATTTTCCCTTTTTGAATTATAGAAATCTAAGATATTTTGTTGAAAGATTCTCTCTCTCTCTCTCTCTTTTTTTTCTAAAAGTATTGAGGCATCCCTCTCCCTTTTTTTACATATAAAGTGGTTTTATGTTGAGGCACAGAATTTTACTTTTTTATTATTATTATTATTTTGTAATTTTAAAAACCATTAAATTAAAAATTAGCACAAAATACCGGAATTATGAAATAAGAACAATTATGATCTAAAGAGTATCAAATTTTACAAAAAAAAGCTTATATTTTATTTGTTTACTTTATTAAACATTTCTTTCAACGCACACATGCGTAAAGCATACATTGCGCATAGTCGAAATTAGAAAATTGCGACCAGAAAACTATTTGATGTGTATTCGTGATATTTATAATGACGAGGAATTTGATTTAAATCATATCAAAGACGGAATACATCAAGATGAAATACTACATTTAGTAAGGAATTATAAGCCGAATAAAATAAAAACATCTGCCTCTGCCCTGAAGATAAGGATAGTGCTGACAGATCAATTTCCAGTTCATTGCGCGCCCCAACAATCCCCCCCCCCCCGCAGAACAGCCTGAAATTGATAAACAGATTTCGGAAGGAGTAGAGAATCAAAGGATATGTCTTTATCCATTTTTTGCAGCAATTCCTCTTTTTGTTTGACGGACATCGAAACATGCTTTCGCTTTGTAGATCCTTTGGTAGCTCCAGAATCAGAAATTCTTTTTGACATAATCGAAAGTTCAAGCTTACTTTTATAAAATTGCTCTAACAGTCTGCAAAAAATAATAAGCAGGATCCAATTAGAAGATTAAGGAACAACGCAATTTGCAACATTAACTGAAATAAATAATTAGATAATTTTAGCTTAGCTTATACCGTCCGTTATACATTAAACACACATGCGTAAACGTATTATGCGCATGCGTAGGCGCATATGCGCATGTGTAAAGTTATTATGCACATGCGTTAACACATTATGCATTGACGCATGCGCAGAAAGTTTGTAGCTTTCAGGTCTGGATTATAGATCATTCCGGATTATGGGCGTCCGGATTAAAGACTTTTGACTGTATATGTATTTATTCCCACTCTGTTACCTAGTTTGGTGAGCTTAGTTTTTTATTCTTATATGTTAGTAATTTATTGCATTTTTTGCTTTAAACGTAATTGAATTATATAGTTTTTATGTTCCGGTTAAGGTTTTTAAGCCCTTCGTTAATCTGCTTGCAACTGTTATAGAATTATCAGCAATTTAAAATTCCAAGTGGCGAGTTAAGTCTAACAAACACTATTTAAAACTCGGTAGAATCAGGGTCTGTTCTAAGTCCTGCAGTAAAATAGTGAATTAAGTCAGTTTCTGCACCTTTAGTGTCTTTTTGCCAAGTGAGACCAAAAGTAAACTTTCAGTTTTGTGCACCAAAAAGTCTGCCTTCTTGCCCACTGGCCGATTTGCTTATTTTTACATAAGAAATGTAATTTTAATTGTTTAAAAAAAATTAACTGTTTTAACTGTATTTGGTGTTTTCTGTATTTTACAATTTTTAATGAAGATATTTTGTGATTTTATGTATTTTTGCTTTGCCACCAAGTGAGAACTGAATTTAATTGAATGAGAAATATATATCTAATAAAATCCTAGGAAATAAGTTTAAATGAAATGCAGCAAAAAGTGTGTGTAATTTAACAGGCCATACAAGGAAGTCATGTGGTGTCCACATCATATGGTTTAATATTGTTTGTTTAGGTTAAAATTAGATACGTAATAACGAAAAAATGCAAAAAAAGAAAAGACACAAAAACTTAACAGTTTTAACCTAACATCTAAATATTTCATTTCAGGTAATTTCAGCAAATAAAATAGCAATCAAAAATCAAACAAACACTTATTTTAAGGGAAGGAATCTCTTAAAAACTTTAAGTTCTGTATGAAAGTATTCTAATGTAAGAAATTCTGTAAGATATCTTTTATTCCATATGCCACTGATCAATTCTGGAATTTTGTTGTATGAAAACAAATTTGACTTGTACCTTAATAAATGAAGATGTTTTTTTCTTTCTACTTGTGTTTTCTTTGTGCAATTAATTGCACTTTTTCTGAGTCAAGAAGAAATAATACTTCCTTATTATATACGTTAGTTTCTAGTTTGCCTTTTTTATGTATTAAATGAGGATAAACACTATTTCATATCTTTAGTTTTTTTTTTTTTTTTTTGTGTGTGTGTGTGGTATATTTTTCTGTATTTTTTATCATTTAGGTCTTTTGTAATAATTTATTTTTCTTTTTTAAACATATGTAGAATTCTTTGTAATTAAAATTTTACAAAATTCATTATATTTAAACTATCACTTGCATAAATTTAGATTCCTTCTTTTGAAGAGCTTGCTGAGCGACTTAATTACTTTATGCATCAGTATAATGAGAGTAGCCAAGGTTTGCAAATGGATCTGGTATTCTTTAAAGATGCTATGGTTCACCTAATTAAGGTAAGTCAATCTTTTAAACCCCTTTTATATAGCTATAACATTAATTCTTTTATGCTAAAATGATTTTATGGGATTATTTATAGGATAAAAAAATAATGATGTGATATACAGTACAAAATACAAAATCTGAATGTCCAATATCCAGGCATCTCGAACAGCAGTTTTTTTTTTTTTTCCCTTAGCCCAAATGGGCTGTTAGTCTCAAAACATGATTTGACAGCGTATCACTTTTCAAATTGTTCCCACAAAATATTATCGCCCTGTATTATAGTCAAAGAAATTAAATAATGAAAAATCTGCATGAATGTATGCATGTGAAAAAAGTGACGCTACCTGCAACCATCAAATTTTCAATAACGTAGTCCTCCACCTTATCATCTGCATCTGGAAGCCTGAATTTTGAATGTCAAGTTTTATATTTCATGCTCTGTAAAACTTTAATGTATTTTTGATTAACAAACTCAGCGATCTGAAAGTGAGCAGTGGCAACACTGTAGGGAATAAAACATTTTTATCTCCAGTGCAAGAGACTGTATATCAAAAATTCTAAATATATGCTTTTTAAAATATTTTTTTGATTTTGCTCTTCAACTGAATTTTATGTGGTGTAAGTGCAAAGAACATGATATTTAATTAATAGATTTGACCCAAAAAACGTTAATAAAAGGCGTTTGCAAGGCACCTTATTTAGAAAACTGTACATTGATATGATAAACCGAGAAAAGATTGAAAAAACTAATAAAATTTTGCCAATACTTAACACCTCATCAGGAATTCTAAACACGGGGTGCTGTTAAAATTTTTATAATTTACCATTGAGCTGTATATGGCACAAGTGCAAAGAAAATGATTCTTAATAATAAAGCTAAAAAGAAAAAAGAAGTGAGTTGGCAGGAATAAGTGCAACAGTCAGCCTGGTAGATGGGGAGCTCGTGAGAGCATAGAAAAACCTTAACAAACCCTTTTGGGTGACCCTTAAAATCTGAGCCCTTTCATGTTGTTTTTTTTTTTTTTTTTTTCCCCCCGGAAAAAGAGGAAAAAGCAACATATACTTAATGATCCAGGAGCAGTAATGCTTGACACATGCAGAGTAGACATTTTTCCCCCTTAATAAAGCATGTAGAGAGGCCTGATTTTTGATTTCATTTCATCACAAAGTAAAGAAGCTCTATACTGAAGTAACACAATCGTTTATTAGCATAAATCTGTATGATCAATAATTCAACTCTGTATACATCTTACTGCTCAACATATACATCTCAGACTAAAATGTTCTATCAAAGTGTATTTTTGATTAAACTCCTACTGACTTACATCAACCTAGTATATAATTTTTTTATTATTATTATTAATTGTTTTCAACACCATGTGGTGGCACCACGTTCGTGGCAGCCTGTGAAGTGTAAAACAGTTTTTGCTTTTAAATATCAGTAAGTGAAAACCAAACAGCATGGCAACCTTTTATACTGACATTATACTTGGTGATAATTGCAAACTTAAACCAACTGTATTGCGAAGGGTTAAGTGAGTTGTCTAGGAGAAATTTAAAAGTAATTTCTAAAAATAAACTTTGGTATTAATTTTAAATGATAAAACCTTAAGGGTATTTTTTCCATTATGAAACTGTCTTGCTTTTTGGCACATGGCATGATGATCTGTTGGCCATCACCTGCCATGAAGTGTGTTTGGGTTTGCCATATGTAAACTATTCTTATAACCAGAAATTGTTTATGATTAAAAAACATGTCAAAACTTTTCACTGGTGCATAATGAAAAAGTGTGTATCTCTTAAGTATATCTGGGATTATTTCATAGGGACGTAGATAAGAAATTGTATGTTAGAAAGCGTATGTTAGAAATAGATGTAAGTAAAAGAAATAATAAAACGAATATAATTCAGACTTAATTTCCTCAAGAAAATTGGGGAAAGATAAATTTAAGCAGAACGGCATGTATTTAGTTGCCAGTCTCATGATACATAGCCAATAATCTAGAGCTGATGCTTGCTAAACTTTATGATGATAGCTGCAAATATGAAGATATCACAAATAGAAAGTGAAATTTCCCAGTCAAGGGGATTTATGGAGAGGTGGTAATAATTGAAGATGATATTACAGAAGGGTTCCATTGCGATGACAGTGCCCTAGTTATCTGTCAACTTAATGGATAACAAAATCTGTAATATAGTTCCAAATCCAGGAAATATCATGACCGATAATGAAGAAAGTGAGATAGTAGGAATAAAGAAATTTTGACATAAATGCTTCATTATTTCATGAACAATTATATCAGATTTTTTATTTTATAATTTCTACAAGGAATTTTACTAGATGTAAACTGATGATCTAAAATCCAGAAAATTCCCAAATCTGGAATTGCCAAAGTCCTGATGAGTCCAGATCTAGGACTTTGTACTGTATGTGTTGTCTTGTTTTGATGTTCATAGTGACTGGAAGTATAATTATCTAACTGAATTTAATTTAATATGTTTTTATTTTCTTACTTTCAGATTGCTCGCATCATAAGCACTCCTCAAGGTAGTGCACTTCTGGTAGGTGTTGGTGGCTCTGGAAAGCAATCACTGACTCGCTTGGCAGCTTCTATTTACAAACATGAAATATTCCAGATAACACTAACAAGGTAAAAATAAAAAAAGGAAGTTTCTTAAATTTTTGTGTACTGCTAAGTCTTCTTTATTCTACTTAAGCTATAAGTATGTATTTTTATAGTATTGTATTATAGTTCTTAAGAGAATTTTTGCAGAAACTAAGTTGTAACAGATTGACTATGTAGACTCTTATCTATAAGATAATTTTTTTTTTAGTTTTTAGTATTTTCCTCTTTTAAAGCATTTTTGAAGTTTTTAGAGAATTTTTGGAGATTGTTTAGAGTATTTTCAGGCATTTCAGAGCATTTTAAGACATATTTTAATAATCAAATTTTAAAATAAAGTTATGATTGAAATAACAATTTCTCAACTTCTATGAAGTCTTTTTTACTAGCCAGGTACTATCCACACAAAGCTGATTATGTAATCTCTCATCTCTTAGTCCTCTCTATTATGACAGGCCTTTCTCCTTGAAGTTTTAAGTATCAATTTTAAGAATTTTCCATACTAGCATTTCTTAGCTCTTTAAGACTTTTTCTGTGTCTTCATTTCCATAGGATTACATGCTGTGGGGAAAAAATATTCTATTGACACATTCTTGGAATCAGATGTTCACTGCTGTGTTTTTCTACCTCAGTAAAATGTGCTTTTTTTTTTTTTTTTTTATTGATTTTTGGGATCTTAAACATCGTTAATTTTAACTAAAACCATCAAAAGATCCTTAATTTTAGTCTGTCTACGTTTACGACTGCCATTTTAAGTGTGAATTAACATTTTGGAGGAATATTTTTTTACTCTAAATTTGATGATTTTTCAACATTTTGCTCGTTTAAAATTCATTTTTAAAACATTTTGGTGATCAGTTTATACACTTTTTTTTTTTTTTTTTTTTTTTTTTTTTTTTTTTTTTTTTTAGATTTGCTAAATTTTGAAGATTTTTCTTATTAATTTTAATAACATTGATAAATATTGTAAAATGATTATAATATATTAAAATTATAATTAAAAAATGACATTAAAATAAAACTTTTTTACTTTCTTCTGCCATTATGAACAAGGTGATACATGCTACAAAACACAGTTTCCTAAACACTTCTTAGGAAAAAAAACAAAAGTGCTTCTGTAATTATTTAAAAAGTTAATTTCATTTATCTTATAAGAGTTTCTCCCCCTGTAATTGTTTCAGAATATTTAAATATGTATCAGTTTTCTCTTGAAAATTCATTTAACATTTCTCTTTTCTAAATTTTTTTTCAAAAATCTTGTGGCATTTTGCTCTTAGAGAGTTGGCAGGAAAAATTTTTCTTTTGAATTTTAGACCTTGCACTTCAGAAGAACTAAACTCAAGACTTATAGACCAAAAATTTCAAAAAAAAAATGTGATAAAAAAGAAAGTGTCTTCATTGTATTAACATGAAATGGATGTGTTTTATAGGAATTTTGTGATGGATATCTCATCTTCTGGAGAATTTTTGGAAAAACCATGAAAACAAAATTATCTGAGTTTTCTCCTTTTGATTCCAGAAGTCTTTCATTTAACATATTTATCTTCCCCCTTTTTTTTTATTTTTCCATTAGACACAAGTATTGAAGCAATCAAAGAAAGCAAAGAAATTGAAAACTGACTATTTATTAAAAAATTCATCATATTTGTAACAGTACACAATATGTACACAATGTTTGCCCTAAATTGCATTGCTCAGTGCTTCACTAAATTCTGAAAATTCTGCCATACTGGCCCTGGTGCTGGCCTATATTACAGTCAAAAGTCGTTAATTCGGACACCCATAATCCGGAATGATCTATAATCCAGACCTCAAAGCTACAAACTTTCTGCGCATGCATCGTGTTGACGCATACGCATAAGCGTTTACGCGTGCGCGTAAGACCTTTACGGCTGCGAATATGCGTGTGCGCAAGCGCATAATACGTTTACGCATGCGCGTTAATCAGTTAATGTTGCAGATTGCGTTGTTCCTTAATCTTCGAATTGGATCCGGCTTATTATTTTTTGCAGACTTGTTAGAACAATTTTATAAAAGTAAGCTTGAACTTTTGATTATGTCAAATAGAATTTACGATATATATTTACTAATATGTAAAGGATCTACAAAGCAAAAGTATGTTTTGAAATCTGAAATCTGTTTATCAATTTCACGCTGCTCTGCGGCAGGGGGCAGAAAGGCCGCAGCGCGCAATTAATTGGAAGTTGATCTGTCAGCACTATCCCTTATCTTCAGGGGAGCATATGCTTTTATTTTATTTGGCTTATAATTCCTTTACTAAATGTAGTATTTCATCTCGATATACTCCGTCTTTGATATGATTTAAATCAAGTTCCTCGTCATTATAATTCGCTTCCAATAGTGAAGAAAGTGACAGAGAGGTTATAGAAAACGAAAACATTTCGATTGACAAATTAGTTGGTATTCTTGACACAGCAATTATAGGACTTGAACAGTGGAACTTTGTAACTAAACAAGAAATTATGTCTGTTTAATAGAATTAAATAGAAAGTATTATCACATGAAACGAAGCATTGAAAGAATGCATTGAAATTACATTGAATTACAATTACATTGAATTCAATGTAATATGAAATACAATTACATTGAAAGAAATGTTTAATAAAGTAAACAAATAAATATTAAGCTTTTTCTTTTTGTAAATTTTGATACCCTTTAGATCATAATTGTTCTTTATTTCATAAATTACGGTTTCATATTTTTAATTTTGTAATTTCTGCATGCCATCTTACCAGATTTAAACTGATGATCTATAATCCAGAAAAATCGATAATCCGGAATCGCCAAACGCTCAATGAGTCCAGATTAACGACTTTTGACTGTATTTCAGATTTGTTCTGAAATACTCATAATATTAAAGAAATAAAATTGGCTGTTTCTTCCATTGATCTTAAGTGCAAGCAGTTCTTTAATTAAGGCTGAAAACTCTAAAATGAAGAAATTCATTGAAGATGAAATTGATTTTATAAAAACAAAGAAAATTAATCTTGAAAGGAACATTGTTAAAACATTAACAAATTAGGAAATGAAGCAGAGACTAGCTGGAATATTGATTTGTTTATTGAAACAAATAAACTTAGAAAAGAGGCTGAAGAGAATGAAATTGGTGTAAGTTAGTTAAAATATCTGGAAATATTTTTTAATTAATATGACACATAAGCATTTTGTTTTTCGTTGTTTTTACAAAACATTTATGTCTTGTAGCTTTTCATGTATAAGTAGCTTATTTATGTATACTATTATTTTAGAATAGTTATCAATAAAAAATTGTAATTGTAACCATCTAAATATATTATGACTAAGGGTATCTAACTATGTAATTTAATTATTTGTAACTAACTGCTTACCCTTAGAAGTTATCTCTACATGTTAAGATGAGTTATCTCCTTTCTGTAATCTATAGTGGATGCAAGATACAAAACAAAAATGTAAAAATTAACATAAACTTTATTCCTTGCAGTTAATAAGATTTAATATAATGCAAAACAACCTATCATCTGTGGTACTTCAGTGGCTGAACTTTGTATTAAATACTGTATATTAACTGAGTTACTTCAGCAAATCTACACGAAGCTACAACACTGACTGGGATAGGCAAAGTGCAGCTAACTTTCAGCACTTACCAATTATATCAACATCAGGTGTTCATGATTGTTCTGATCAGCAGCTCTCTGTCTCTAAACATGTAGCTGCAGTGGGAACAGCCAGTCTTCTTTTATGTGTCACGCTGGTTATTATTTTACTGCACAATTTAAGTTATGCCATTTAGTATAATTTGCATATGCCTGTAGACTGACTGAGTGTGTGATAAAATAAGACATAAGAGAAAAAATCAATATAAAGCTAACTGCTAGTAAAATTTAAATAAAAAGCCAATAATATTCTTTAATATATGTTTGCCTGTTATAAGTGTAAAATATAAATGTTTCAAGAAATTCTATAATTTAATACTAATTCCTTGAAAAAATTTATGAAGTTAATTTCATTCTTGAATTTATTTTATAATTAAATTAAATATTAGATTATGTTTAATAACAATGCATCTTACTTAGAGATTTATTACATGTGCAGAAGTGTGTACAAACCCTGATTGGTGAATGGCCTGGGATCTTTTCATTTTTGAAAACGGACTATCAGATTAGAAATGCAGTGGCACAAAAGATATTTAGCGACCATACTTTTTGCCAAATGAGTCTTTTGCCTCAAATGTACTGCCAAAATGAGCACTGCATTTTTAAGAACTTAGAATCAAGTTTAATATGTCAAGAGAAGCTTCATGATATAAAAACTTATATAGTGACTACAGGTGATATTTCACTTTCAAAAGCATCAAGAAGCTCTTACTAATTTAGTGCAATTATAATATATTTGTGTAAATATGAAAATTCAGAAGAAAAAATACCATTCAAGAGACAGGTATGTGTAATTAGTTGGGTTTTAATCCAATTTGTCAATGTTTGTATCAATCTTTTAATCCTTTTTTTCAAATTATTTGTTTTTATCTATTTTTGTATCTATTTTTCATTTTGAGTTTTTTTATTATTGTAATTTTTAAGGGAGTTTTTAGTGAATTTTTAGGTTATCAAAATCGAGGCCTTTTTCATAACTAAGTAAATGATGCAATTTAATATTGTTAAAAATTTCATAATACAATAGCTGAAGCTATAATCAATAAGAAATATTGTAAAGCTTATATATATACAAGAAATCTTTTTAAATTTATTTCTTATTAAAACCACAGTAGCGGGAATATTTTATATTTATTAAAGTAGCTAGCTACCTAACATTCTTGAACTTTTGCTGTGGCATAATATATTGCTGATAGTCAACTCAGAATGTAACCCATCCAAAGCCTTTGAACCCATTGATTTTACTCTAATGTGCATTAGGGTGAGCTGAAAAAACACTTTTTTAAAAATTTTTTTATCACTATACTTGGGAAACGTAGCCAATCATCTAGCTAAGAAAATGAAAAAAATAATTTTCAAATAAAGTTATATCTTCTGTTCATGCATGACACTCAAAGTTTTTGAAAAATGGTTTTTTTTTTTTTTTTTTTTTTTTTTTTTTTTTTTTTTTTTTTTTTTGTCAATATTACAGTTATTAAACTCATTATTATTGAAACGCTATAGATCCTAATGTGAATTTTGGGCATGAAAAACACAAAATTTTAAAACCTGCAATTTAACATTATTTATTGTTTGAGCAAATGGCTCTAAAAACACAATTTTTTGTAAAAATAACAATATTTTGTAATTTTTGTTACAAACTTTTTTAAATGGTGACTGCTATTATCAACTATAATGTAACTATATTGTGTAGTTGTAAATATTGTGCGTATTATAAATATTATGTGACAATTGATTCAGATTTTATGTATGCGATAATTGATTCAGATTTTTATGTATGTGACAATTGATTCAGATTTTATGTATATGATATTTTATTCAAATTATTCTCAAGTCATTGACAAAAGAAAAATAAGAGGAAAAGCAGAAATGATTGACAGAATCAATTTATTAAGAAAACAATGCATAGCCTGTAACTCATAAAAGAAAAAAGACACAATGGTAATTAAAATAATTAATTCAGTTAAAGCTTTTTCTGAGAGCCAAAAAAGAGAATCATTATTCCCTCATTTAAAAAAAAAAAAAAAAAAAAAAAAAAAAAAAAAAAACAGATTAGAATATATTGGCCGTGTTTCTCTTTCTCTACTCAACTTGTTAAATATATAACTTTTATCCGAATTTCCCATTTGACTGTGTATGAGATTTTCCTTGAAGAACTTGATGTAATAGAGAGCAATAAAATTGTAACTAATACTGCTTTGAAAAATTGTGTTATCCATCAAATCAAAGTTGGAAGGCCACTGCAGTGAGCTATATGTCTTCTACACTTCATTGAACTGAAGTTCTATCATCTATTTCATCATTTGGTCAATGTTATCACAGAGCCCGAATCATTCAGTGGACCAATAAAGGAAAAACTAACTGGCTGTGAAAAACTTCATTGGTTTGCTTTAAACATGAGTATTGAATTCTCCATTCCTCAAGTTGACAGGAAATTACTAAGCAAGGATCAATTATACTTACTTGATATTTCTGCTATCATAAAGTCAGGTACAATGTTAGAAGATTTAGCAGCTCATGATCCTGATCTGCGTTCAACCTCAAGATGATTGCAAATCGAGTTCTCAGATTTTATTTGCGCTTAGAAAAAGCATATTGATGAAATTAGGCAGTTGATATGTTTTGTTTTGAACTGTTACATGCTTCTCTGGTTCAAATCTAAACTGCCAAAATTTCACAGACAGTCCAAAGATAGGTTTTGAAGCCATGAGAACATCACAATATCTAATTCAAAATTTACAACCATAAAAAATAATTGTCAAAAATAGTCATCAACCCAGTAATTCAGCTGAATGCTCTCTTTGCTCATTCCAAAAATTTGATCTTTGCAATGATTGTGGCTGAAAGAAGACATATCAGAAAAGTAGGGCTGCACTAATTACTGAAAGCTCAATCACTTCCGAAGAAAAGACTATTTGAAACTTAAGACACCAAAACTCAACTTTGAAGAAACAAACTACTTAATATGATTTGGTGGTTAGTTTCAGTATCTCTCCTTTTCCACTATTAAGGAATATTATAAATGAGTACATCAAAATTCTGTTAAATATTGGCATGCCACTGTAAGCGGATTTCCAAAGCTTGCTTCTTGCACACAAGCTGTAGAACAGTATGTTAAACTTGTGACCAAAGCAACTAAAAGGGTGTTATCAGAAATTACAAAATATTGCTTTTATTCCATAAAAAATTGTGTTTTCTGAACTTTCTGTACAAACAACAAATAATTTGAAATTATTATAGGTTTTAAACTTTGTTTGTGTTCCTATTGCTCCAAAATTCACATTAGGAAACACTGCATTTCAATAGTTTTGAATTTAGTAATCATAACATATTGATGAAAAGCAGCAAAATTTTGTTACTTTTCAAAACTCTTGAGTGTAGTGTACAAATGAAAGATATATTTTTATACCAAAACCTTTTTCCCGTTTTGCATAGCTGGATGATAAGCAACTTTTCTGGGGTATAGAAAAATTTAAAAAATAATAGAAACAACAAAAAACAATAGAAATTTTTTTTAAAAAAAGTGTTTTTTCAACTCATTCTACTGTATGTTCAAAACCTGTAGTGATGCAGGATTACTTCAAAGAACACAAAATTTTGTTTGAATGCTGCTAAATTTCTGATCCCTTTATATTTAGCTTCGATTTTTAAATCTTCATATTCACATTTTATTTAATGTAGTTATTTAGTTTTAAAAATAATGCTAACATAAATTCATGCAGCAAAGGCATTTATCAAATAACTATGTTTATCATCTGAATGGAGGACTATATTTACAGCCTAAAATAGTGAAGTGGCTAAAGTCACAAAATGCTATTCGTCCTAGGTTTGGTTTTTAATACTTAAATTAACTGCCTGCATGTGTGTTTTTAACATTTTTCCATCTAATAATATCAGTTTCCTTATAAAATCCTTTATAAACATACCCCTTACTAGCTAGTAAGTTCTTAAACATTTTGGAAAAAAAGTATATTTTTATAAAATGCTACTGAATGTGCCTGTATTATTAACTGAATGTATTTCACTGCATTAGATTTTCTTTCCTTCAGATCATATAATGTAGGCAATCTGGTTGATGACTTAAAATTTTTGTATAAGAAAGCTGGTGAAGAAGGAAAAGGAGTTACGTTTATCTTCACTGATAATGAAATCAAAGAGGAATCATTTCTTGAATACTTAAATACTATTTTAGGATCAGGAGAGGTAATGAACTGTGTGTAATATATGTATTTTACAAAAATAATACATTTTCTATGTTATTGGAAAACATGCAGGGACATTTTCTCCTTATATTATATATTTTTAAATTTATTTCTGCTTTGCATATTATTTTAAAATAAAGAAAATGATAGCCTGATGTAAATGATCTACATACTTAGATGCATGTGGGTGCCTAATAAAAGTACCCAAAATATTGTAAAAAGAATAAACCTCAGACTATCACTGAGCCAGGATGATCTGTGGTTCTGCAAAATTTTTCACATTAGATTATTTTCATGCATTTACCGAAAATCTGAACAATACTTATACAAATTATCTTGGGATTTTGTGTAAAAATTAAAGTTTCTTGACAACTTCTGATACTATTATGTAACAAGCATAAGAAAAAATGAATAAATGTAATTTCGCACTCAAACATTACTTCTCTATTTTAAATTCTTGAAATCAAAATTACATTCACCAGGGCCATGAGAACTTGTCTGCTATCTATTCCCTGTTCAGCAGACAGGGGGCTTCTTTTGGGTGAAGAGAGTTATTAACATGTTGACTGTCGTGCACATTTTATGTGGTTTGCTTATGACAGCAATATGAATTTTTTATTATGCTATGTATATTATGTTGAAATATTATCCACAGAAGATAAGGTGAGTTGCATAATCATGTTTAATGTAATTTTCATGGTAGGGGGTCACCAGTGATCCCATGGTGCTGTAGAACAGTTTTGAGAATTATAATTCTTCAAACCATTATAGTAACAACAGTATTATTTTAAAAATTATCAGTATCGATATTTACTCTAACCATGTATTTTAACTAGTGGTAATGTCACTGGTGGTCCCCACAGCGCAGTAGTCAAGTCAAGTGGTGACCACCAGTGATCTCCATGGCAATCAACGTGTTAATGACAAATGATGACAAATTGAAACTCAGGCTTATTAAGAGAACAAGTTCTGAATTTCTTGTTGTGAGCCTGTGAAAATACTTAAAAATTGAAGGTATAGGAGATCAGGACTCTATAGTTTAATAAAACTCTCAGAATTTTCAGTTCTAGAAAATGAGTTTTTACTATTCCCACATATCAGATTTTTTTGTAAATATTGTAATTTTTGTAATTGCTTAGAATAATCTTATTTCCAGTTACACACATATATTGCACAGTGGGATCCTCACATATGCAGAAAGAGGCAGCAAAGCCTCAGTGTTTGCAAAACATTGTCCATCCTTAATTCAGTGGCACTTCAATGTATGTTTGTTTAGCATTATATAAGCATACTTTTAAATTAAATTTTAAACTCTTTATTCTCCAGGCAGTTTTATTTCAATGATTTTTTGCTGAGAATTTTACAACTTATTACAAAATCCTTCATTATGCAAAATGAAATCCTTTCATTGCAAAATCTTTTTGTAAGTCCTTTCATTTGAAACTTTTAGAGAAACTAATAAGAAATTTAACTCTTACATTTAGCAATTAGATGTGGCTTTTTGTGATGTTATTATGTTAAACAAACCAGTGTAACTTGTACAACACTGGCATGGTATGAAAGTTCTTTTGGAAATTTTACAGTACATAAAAAATACATAAAAAGCGCAATAAATAGAGAGATGTAAAAATAATTATAAAATTTTGCTTCAGGGACAAGTGGTTATTTAAAATAAATGTAAGAGAAATTGAAATGTATTACAAGAAAATAATGTATTGCTTCTATATTCTTCTCCATTATATATATTATATTTGAACATTGCATTATATATAATTCCAATGTTATTTCATGAGTATCTTTTTTAGTGGCCTTTTTATTATCTTATTAAATCCATAAAAATTGTACCACATTTGTATGTTTATATATATATCACTAGTTTGTAGTGTAGTTATGAATAATTTGTTCTGATTTTATTCTTGAAATTTATTTATAGGTTGCCAATTTATTTCCCAAGGATGAATTAAGAGAAATATTAGATAATTTACTTCCTGTAATGAAGAAGGAGCTTCCTAAAAGAGAACCTACACAAGATAATTTGTATGATTATTTCCTTACAAGATCCAGAGCAAATTTACACATTATTTTATGCTTTTCCCCGGTTTGTATCAGAAGCATAGAGTTGTATGCCAAATGTACACTTTGCTTTTACTGCTATATATCATATTCATCATAAATTAATATTTCTACCTAATTCAGCCATTTGTAATATTTTAATCTTTTGTGTTACTAAGACATATGTTGTAATATTGGACTGTAAGTAGAAAATAATATTTGATAGGAAATTAAACAATTAATAAGTTTATTACTATTATATGTATTTTTACAATTCAGGCTGGAGGAAAGTTTCAAAAAAGGTCTTTAAAATTTCCTGGACTTATATCCGGTTGCACAATGGATTGGTTAACATCATGGCCAGCTGATGCTCTTATTGATGTTTCGACACATTTCATTAAGAATTTTGATGTGGAATGTAAGCCTGAAGTTAAGGTGCAGTTGATGGAAGCAATGGGTATTATACATAATGCTGTTTCTCAACAATGTACTGAATACTTTCAAAGGTAATTCAATTGACATTTTTTTAATATAATGTCATTCCATCTAGATAAGAGTCTCATTTAAGAAAGAATAAACATTATGGATTTTAAATGTATAAATTATTTCTGTAACTTTTAAGTAATCAATACAAATTTATTTTCAGTTGCAAAGTTAATTTACTAATTACAAATGTTAATTCACTCTGCCATCTAAGCTTTTAATATTTTTAGCATAACACAGCCAATTTAGTTTTTGCTATTAATTGGGTATAACTTAAAAGGATTGAGTATATGCATCTCTTTATTCTCACTGAGCTTCTAAAACAGTGGCTTTTAGCATTTCTAGTGGTCAAGAACCTCTTGAATCAGAGAATAAATTCTCACATTCTCTTGAAAAATGTTTCTGTTTTTTTTTTTTTTTTTTTTTTTAAATTTTATTTATTTATTTATTTAGAAAACTATTAGTTTGCAAACAAATTATTGGTAAAAAATAAATACATAAATTTACGTATACATGCTAAATAATACATTCTTTTTCAGTGTCTGTGTTGTTTGTTAATAGTAATATTTTTGAAGTGAAGCTTTTTTTTTAATTCTTAGTTTAAGAGCCATTCATAAGTCATCAACTGTATTTAAGCGATTTCTGGCTTATGTTTCTTTGTGGAAAAGTTGTGAAAATCTCATTTCACACAGGTAGATGGTGACAAATGGTAAAAGTGTGTGCAATGCTACTTTTGCCAATTTGTGTTAGGTTCCATCTGTGTACACCAGAATTGTTCTAATTCTGTCTGAATTATAAATCCCTTTTGAATATGTGCATTGGCTCATATTTCAGTAAGATAGCATTTTATTAAATCATTGTTGTCCATTAAATTTGGCTCAAATAGAAATGGGTCCAGAATCCATCTCTGAGTTTTGCTATCATTTCCCGTGGTATCCATGAAAATGAAAAGTATCCATGAAATGATTCGCTCAATTGTGCGAGTTTCAATGTGTCTTTGTTGCTTCGTGGGTATGAACACATAATCTGACCTCACACATACTTTGTAACACAAGTGCATTCTAAAATAACTAACTGCGTTGTGGTTTTCGAGACAAATGCAGCACTTTTGTGCCACGTAGCAGTCAAACGGTTAAAAAAATGTATTACTTCACAGTTCAGAAACTCTGCTTAGCATATGGCTCTTGAAGAACCATTGTATTTCTGTGTAATAAACAGGGCTGCCATGTGGATATGAGGCATCCTTGTAGAATGCTGTATTCCAACATTCCCATAAATTATTGTAATTTGCAAATTAAATAAATTCCGAGGTACCCTTATTTTTTTAGTATTAAAAAATGACAACATATTTTTAACATCATATGTCATTTATTACATTTTTACTCTCCAAACTTTAGTTTCGACAAAATTCAGAATCAGATCTTTTATGAGGTATTTATATATCTGAAGTATCTGTTATCATTTTTTATTGGTACCTACATATTAGCCCAACCATCTTAGTAGAAGTCGCCAAACTCAGGCAACCATGTGATCAATTGAAACTGCAATCCAAACATTCACCAAATCACCTTTTCTTCTGCAAAAACCACCATACTGAGCCAAGGTAGTTGCCCTAATTCGTAAGTGCCTTTTTATTGATATTATTGAGAAATTAATAGGATTTTCTCCTCATAGTGTTGATCTTAAAATATTTTTTTATTAATTTTAGCTTCAAAATTTGAAAAATTCCTTTTCTCCTGTTGCTATTGATGCAAATAGCACAGTCCTGGATTGGAGGGGGGGAAGCTGGGGTCCTTACCCAGGTTGGCAACTTCTGTGGCAAATTCAACTGTGGCACTGGATCATATCTGGAATATTGTCTATTTTTGCTACAACATTAGTAGTTTTAAGGTCAGGTTTAAAAACCTCTTTTAAGATATGTATAATTAAATACTACACCTCTTTTTAAGGGAAAAAGAGTTAAAAGAAAGTACAGCCAATTATGACTAAAAATAAGATCTTGTAGAAGACACTAGAGAGACTCCAAATTCTGGATCATCCTGCACCAATGAAATAATGCAAATTAATGTACATTAAAGTATAATGCAACAGATTGTCAACATGACTATGTGTTTTCAAGTGAAGAAGCAAAGCATTTACGTTTTTCGCAGCTAGGCAGCACCCCTTTGTTTAGAACAGTGGTGTGTATTTCTGCTTTTTAAAGCTGGATTTATTATTTTTATGCACATGTTTTCTATGTATATTATTTTTATGTATACAATTTTATTTATATGATATTTGTCCCTAAAAAGGGGTGGGTATCATATTTATGAAAGACAATTCAAAATGAAATTATTGACATAATGGCAAAAACAGTTTAAGTATATGCAAGATAAATAATTATAAAAATATATAATGTAAATAATTTAGAACAACATTTATTAATTTCTAATGCATAAAAGAGTATAAGCCAGGTTTACAGAAATGAATGCGCTGGTCAAATTTTTGCCATGTTTGGCTCACTCTTTGAATCTTATCAGTGGGCATTCTGCCTTATATGACTGGAAGCAGTTAACCTATTTGTAATTATCCACAAAATATTTTGCTTTTTTGTCAGATCCACTACTCAGTCAGATATTATGAAAAAATATACGAAAAACAACTTAAAAGGAAGCAGCCACAGTTGGTAAAATATGTGGCTGTGAAAGCTCTTCTAATAAATTTACCAGAAGCAGTAAAATCCTTGAAAGAAATTAAAAATATTTCTCTTAATGCAAGTAACATTAAGTAAATATGAAATACTGCGGAGGTATTTGGAAGTATATTAGCTAATTAATTTTCATACACAAGAGGATCCAGAGGTAACAGAAAAAAGTTAAGATTCTAGAATTCAAAAAGTACAGACAGTAGCAGAATGGGGTTTCCACAAAAAAATACACAGAATGGCTTGGTATTTTTGTCAACTATGAAAAATCTTACTTTTAGAATAGTTACACTCTTACTTGAAAGCTGTACAAATATTGGATGATGTGATAGGAATTACAGTGAATCCTTTTAGATGCTGAGTGGAGTGTTATGCCATATCATACTGGCAGACATACGAATGATGTCTCTGACACTGAATATTTGTAATTATAACTGCATTGCAAACTGCACTGTGCCATACTGCAAACTTTTGACATAATTGAAGCAAAATCTTTCTGTGGAAAATTTAGCTATTCTGTCATTTTTCATTGGAAAAAAATCCCACTCTTTCTGGGCATTTTTATGAAAACTGCCTCATGTTCCTATCTATACTTTTGAATTACTAAATTTTACTTCTTCTGTTATGTTTGAATCATCCATTGCATAATTTAAAACATGTTAGGATATCTTCATATGCAAAAATTTGCTGTCTTTAATTCCTTAAATAAAATCATTGCATTGGTAGTCTGATTATTAGAATTGTTATTGTCACCAAGTTTTAATAAATTTTTGCTGTGTTTTAATGAATCATAGTCATCCTATTCTTTTACTTTATTTATGTGTCAGTTTGTTTAAAAGCTTCATTGTGTGGTATCAAAGGTATAAATCTTTCTATAACTGATGATATGACAATATCTAAATCAAGTAAAAATATATTTTAAAATTTTGCTTAGCATAATTTTTTAGTCTCATTTGATATTTCATAGTCAAATTTATATATTCTGTTTTGAAATGTTGGAGAAACAGGATTCATATTTAATTTATTTGCTATTTCCTTTGTAGAATTAATAATGTTTTCAAAATGTGGGTCAGTTTTTTCAATCTTCAAGTCCTTCATATGAGCTCTGGAATCAGTATTTTTAGAATCATCTTCCACAATATTTAAATGATCATATGCTCTTATCACATCAGTTCTGCTTTCTCATCTAATAGCAAAAAGCAGTTTAACTTTTCTAATGCTATGGACTTAAAACTCCACACAAAAGGATGGCTTTCTAATTCATTACATACCAAAATTTTTGCCATCTCTTGATGTATCTGTTTTGGTCTTGGATGTATATTAGAAGAGAAGGAGTCAAGGTACAAAGTGAGAGGATCATTATGGAGTTAGAATCAAGAAAATACCACTTATTCATGGCATTTTGGGGAGCTCTGAAGTTCAGGGACAAATACATAGTGCTTGGAGGGTTAATACTTAAATTTTGAATTTTTTCTTTTAATGCTGACTCATACTTCACAGATGCTAAAAAATAACTGTATATAATTCTTATATAACTCTCATACCAATCATAAGCTGCACCCTAATAAGTACAGAAAAATAGGATGCATGATTTGCTATTTCTATTAGTTTCACAAAATTTTGATTTAGTGACTCATTTTATACCTCCTTCTGAATATTTTAACTATCTCTCTCTTTTTTTTTTTTTTTTTTTTTTTTGTTATGTTTCTTCCTTGTCTTACAGGGGACGATTGAGGGACTCACAAAAATCTTTTCTGTGTTCTGACTTTATAATAATCTTGCCCAGTGTCCCCTGTTTCTAACAGATACTCAGGTGATGATTTTCATTGAAAATTTAGAAACGTCTCCTGCATCCCTAGGCATGCAGACCATGTTAAGAACCGTTGTTCTAAGGGAGGGGGAAAAGTAGTTATAACACATGGACAATTTTACAGAACTTCTCAACTGGTTCAATATTAAACATTGATTCCAAGTTTTATGTGTTATGCTGACATTGATTTCAAATTTTATATGCTATATTCTATGCAGTTGATATTCAATTTCCACTACTTTTATACCTGTTTTTCCTACCTACATGCCGAAATGACTTGTGATATGCCTGTTTCCTAATTACAACAAACATTTCACTAATTACAGTAAACAAGTGATAGACCTGTCAGAGGAACTAATAGCAAGTGATAGCACTTCTAGATAAAAACTTGGTTGTACTAATTTTGCATTTATATAACTATAATTTTGCTTCTACTAAATATAGATTATAATAGAATAGATAATAGAGTTATTATAATAGAATGTTTTGCACTTTTGAAGTAAATCATTGATTAATTTTTCTATTTCATAACACATTTGAAAGATGGCTGATCTCTGATGTCAAAAACTGTAAACTTTGCCAATTTGCATACTACTTGAAGGTTTTTTTTAGCTTCTTCGCATGTAATTTCTTATTTAAAGAGCCATTGTTTATTATAATAGTTGAGTGGTAATTATGTTCTTTCCCTTTCCCGCTATTCCAGCATAAAAAATATTAGCATTCATATAGGGAGAGGACTTCATAAACTTATTCCTAAATACCAGAAGATATAAGGGCAAGTCAAATAAAAGTGAGTCGGTATTCTCTGTGCTCAAATAGCTTGATCTCTGTATGTCAGTATATCTTTGTAGGATGACGTCTTCTATTAGATCTGTAGTTGCAACATGGTTGTGACAATAGTAATTAGGCAATCTGAATTTCATTTGTTTGGATGCAGGTCTTTATTAGTTTGAATGAGGCTTATTTTTTTTTCAAAGTAGCTATGATTTTGTGAAGAACTTTCAACTACAAAGAAGACTAGCCAGTATATCAGTCCAAAATATTTCCTGTAATTTCCAAGTTTTTTTTGCAGAGCTGGTGACACAATGCTTGTTTTGAACTGTACTCATATAAACTAGAAATTCATCTTATGTTCTTGTAGAAATGTTCAGTGTTCCACAAATGAGTGCTACAGCAATTATACACAGCTGTTCCAAATGATGTTCAACAATTTTGGTGAAGAATTCTAGTGTCATATTGAAATAACCATCTGGTGGGAAGGTGTCATAAATTGTCGGTGCTGTATCATGATTATCTCTATCATGCATTTTGCGAGTCTCAGGTTCACATGGAAACTCTAAAATTTGTGTTTTTCTTCATATAGTGGGAAGAAACATGTATAACCAATCCCTGTATAATATGGCACTCCTGCAGCACAGTTTCACTTTGACAAGATCTGAGAAATGTGGAAAATCTCCATTTCATATGGCATTCTTACAATACAGTTTTACTGTAATATGGTTTAGCCAAGACTCAGAATTTTCATTATTAGTATTTACAACAAAACTGCTTATGCATCAATATTTCAGCATATTAAAATTTAACATAATTAAGGGACAGACATCAGGACAAAATTATAAAGACCAGAAAAATTGAAGAAGAAATAATCGTTTTTACTAAATCAATTGGAGTTCTGTTTTCGATATGAAAATCCTTCCACTGAAAAATGTGGGAAATTTAAAAGAAAACTTTACAAATGCTTATGCTGCATGCAACAGATCTTATAAAGATCTCTCATCTAAAATCAAGCAATAAAAAATAGCAGATTTTTTTTACAGTAATTTTAAGTACTGTACAGAAATCACTGCTACCAAAGATACCTCAAAAGTAAAGCTATTTCTTCAAATGAAAGCACCCTTATTTAACAGTTGTTAATAAGATGAAGGAAAAAATTTTATGTAATATTAATATCGAATATTTTCAGCAATAATGCTATAGTAAAATATTATGTTAATAAAATGTACAAGTATGTTTAGTAAATTTTATGTTAATACATAAATTTTTACAATCTGATAGCAATGAATTTTTACAGAGGAGATTCTAAACATTTCATTCCTAAGTCTATAATTTTTAATGCTTTAAATTAGAATTTAAAATTAATTTTCTTGTTTTTTACATGTTTCTGAATACATTTCTTAAAATTTTAACGCAGTCATATAGTGTTATACCTAAAATAGTTAATGTTCCTCTTATTATTAATGGCGGGAGCTGAGGTCAGTTATAAAGCAATTTGACAAGCATTTAAATAATTATTCCTTATTAATGCCAATAGCTTGAAAATGGAAATATAGTTCAATTTCTGAGTCCTTCAGTCAGAATCTAGTAATCATATAAATTGTATTATATCAAAGTTTATAAATTAATGTGTTATTAATTTTAAATAATACCCTTAAAAATATTTTATTATTGGCTCTAAAAACTTCTTGAAGTTCAAAATGGCAAAAAACTTGTGAGGTGTTTTAAATGATTATTTAAATTTTTCAACAGATATCGTCGCTTGACATATGTGACACCCAAGTCATATCTGGCATTCATTAACGGTTATAAGGCAATATATTCAGAGAAAAGATCAGATATAAATGGTCTTGCTAATCGCATAAATAGTGGTTTGACTAAACTGCAAGAAGCCACAGTCAGTGTAAATGAACTTAAGATTGACTTAGCTGATAAAGAAAAGGAACTTGTTGTTGCAAGTGCTGAAGTTGATAAAGTACGTATTTAAAAATCTGTAGTTAAATTTTAAACACTTTACATTGTTTTTGTTGCTTGATAAAAGTATCTGACTAGAAGTTTCCAGACACTTGAGTAATATCTGTATAAAAATCAGAAATTAAAAATCAAATGCTATACATTCTTTAGCAATTAAAAAGTGGAATTTATAATGGAACATTTTTTACTCTAGTAATTTTTTTTTTTTTTTTTTTTTTTTTTTTTTTTTAAGTAAGAAATAAAAGAAATCACTAGATAGGGTAAAATAACTCGTTAATTAACAGTGCAGAAAATTATTTTGTTAGATACTTTATTGGCTCTACTTTACTTTCATTTTATAGTTATGAATTACATGATAACTGTAAAAAAATCGTCTGTCAATTTTTAATGCTTTATTTCTAAAATATATGCATTATTAATGAATTATAACTGTACATAATTCATTTACTATTCAAATACTTTTTTAAACTTTATATTTGCAATCATTTTTTTTTTAACTGGCTCTTTTCTAAGTGGCAATAGTGGCATTTTCTTGATTTACAGCTTATTTAACTGAAATTCGGTGACAGTAAGTTACTTAAATTCAGCAAGCAATCTAAAGACAGCTTAAGTTATTGGAGGCATATTTAGAAGCCAAAACTTGAAACTTCTTAATTTTTCCTAGATGTGTGAATGTATATATTATAGATAAATGTCAAATTTCTACCATATATAAACAGGGCAAAATAATAAAAATAAAGCTTAAAGCAACTTATAGTAATTTAAAACTTTGCTGATTTGGGATGGGATTATTCTTTAGAACAGACATAGTCTCAAACCTATTGCAATATACCTAAATTTTGTGCTGAATATAAAGTTCATTTCTGTCAGATTTTCTATGGATTAAAAAGAATTAAATCTTACATTAGAAATTAGTCATTTTTGCACATTTAAATTGGACCAAAAATATGTCTAAAAATTACACTTATTATTTATTTCATCAAATTTCTCTCGTCATGATCTTATTCTCAAAACTTGTGAATCTGTGATAAAATATACATATATTATATATTCATACAAGTTGAAATGTTATTTCCTTTATATATTTCTTTATTCATTATTTTAAAAATTATTTTTCATCTAGGTTGTTGTAGATGTGAAAAAGAAAACAGAAAGTGCTGAAGTTATTAAAAATGAAGTCCAGATTGTAAAGGATAAAGCACAAAAAATTGTTGACAAAATATCAATTGAAAAAGCAATTGCAGAAGAAAAGCTTGAAGCTGCAAGACCTGCCCTGGAAGCTGCAGAAGCAGCTTTGCAGGTCTGAAAATTATTTTCTGTCTGTATATTTTTATATTAATGCTCTAATATCTGGAACAACATTTATACAATGTTTCTTGACTATCACAAAATGCCCAGCATTACATTTTTTAAATCTGTATTCATGGTACTGTTACTAAATCTTTACCTTTTCAAATGAATATGCCATAAATTCTCTTATTGCTTTTGGTAAGTAAGCATCTTAGCATAATATTGTCAAGTTCATCATATATTCTATGTGTTTTAATTACAATTTGTATTTACATGTGGTGATACTTGATACTTTTTTTTTATTTTTTTATTTTTAAATTATGAAAGAACTTGTCTTAAAAGTTTTACAAATAATTTTCAAATTGAGCTAAACTAATGTTAAAAATTAACTTAAATAATAATCCTAGGGACTAAAAATAATATAAATATATCTTTTGTACTAATAATTGAGGAGTTGAGCCTTGAGAAAGTAAGTATAAAATTAAATCTCAATTTTTTTTTTTTCCTAGCATAGAATTTACTTTATTGATGCTTTTTTATATCTTTTATATTTGTAAATTTACTTTTATATTTTTGAAAAAAATATTCATTGATTTTTCTTGAAGAGTAAATTACACATAGTTGATACTCAAATAATTGAGTATTACACTGTTAATAAATCTAAAACAATAGAAATATTTTTAATAAATCTAAAACAATGGAAGTGTTGTTAATAAATCTAAAACCATAATAGTCTGACATGAAAGTTATGCAGTCAACTGCCTGTATCATTTCTTTTATTATTCTTGCAACTGCATATATTTAATAATCTGTAATTAATTATTCTTATTTATTTAATAATCTGTAAATGATTATTCAGTTTTTTCCTTTGCGCTATTATTTTTAGCAATTGTTTATAAGCCAAACATTATTACTTTTTCCTGTAATTTTGCATTTACATTTTATTATGTAACATTTAGTGTTCTTTTACTGGATACAAATGTATTTTATATGCAGTATTTGCTACTTAACACTAAGTTTTGCACAAGTTAATTAACGTTCATCTGACATTACGTCATTTTTGCAAATTAATGACTTGCATATAATGTTATTAAAGAGATCTTGCTGCAAAAATTTCCTATATTACACAATATCATTTATATTGTTGTTATCTGAAACATTTGCTTTCTCATCTCTTTATGCAAAATGACATCCACTGTTATTTCAATTAGAAATTCCTATTGTTTTTGAAGTGATCCAAATTCCAGTTATGTCTGTTGTTATATTATAAGGATATATATAATGTTATGAATTTCTAAAAAAAACAAGGGTAAAAATTAAAGTACAGTGTTTTTCAGAAGCTAGAATTCATAGTGTAATAAGTGACAATTAATTGTTCTCAAAATTGTAAAGTAAGTTTTTTTCGCAGTGAAAACGATTCATTCTATAAAATATGCAATTGTTAGCTAATATTATTTAAAAAATTTTGATTATAAAAAATTGTACTTACAATTGAAATTATTATTACTTCTGCTTAAAATATTACATTAATATTAAAAGAATATTTTTTTTACAAATGTATGTTGTTTTGTTTTTAATAAAGTATGTATTTTATTCCTTACTTTTAGACAATCAAACCTGCTGATATTGCTACTGTGCGTAAGTTAGCTAAACCACCACATTTAATTATGAGAATTATGGATTGTGTGCTTATACTTTTTCGAGAACCTTTGATTCCGGTTGTACCAGATCCAGAAAAACCATGTCCCACACCTTCATGGGCTCAATCTTTAAAGGTTTTTATGTTTTATATAAGTGAATTTGTATTTCACAGAAATATATATGAGTAGTTACTTTTTTGAAATAATCTGTTTTCTTTACCTGTGAATTTTATGCTGTTCAATCCATTTTAAATTGGTGAATAATATTTCTAATTTTGGAAATTTTAAGACATTTCATTTATTTCAAAAGATAAGCAATATTCTTAACTAACTAATAAGATTATGATAAGAACACATTTTTAATGCAGTATAATTTCATTCTTTCCTTTGATTTAAATTCATTGCTAATCACATTCAGTTAAGCTGCTTTTTTTTCATATATTTGCATATGCATGCATGTGTGTGTGTAGTAAATATTTCTCCTTGTATGATTTTAAGCAAATCTGAGTATGAATATCTAATTTTATACTAATTTATGATATAAAAATCATCTATGTGATATAAAAATACTTGATAGTAAAATAAACTATATCTCAAAATAAGTGTGCTAAATTAAATTGAGTATTATGTTGAACCAAAAACTCTTATGAAACAAGTAAGAAATCAGAATAAATTCTAGGATTATTTTATATTGTTTACATGAAATGTTTGAATAAATGCAGTGGCATTAAAAATTGTTTATTTCATTTTAATTTTCTGACTATCATATTCACCCAAAATAGTAGAATCATTTGACTAAAATTATACACTTTTACTCTTATTTATAGCTGCAAACCTAAGTTTTCACTTAAGGACTAAAATTAAATATGACTTGTTTCAATAAAATTTTACTATACAGTTCCTTAACTTAAATTTGAATTTGATTTTATGTGGGACATTAAAAATATTAGTGCACAAGAGCAACAAAATTTTGATGATTTATATGAGAAGAAATTGCTAATTAGAGACATTTCAAAATTTGTTTATTATTTGTACTGTTACTTCAGGTTATTTATAAATGTATTATATGACAAATATTAAAGACATTAATCATGGTTTGGTATTGAAAGGTCATGAAAGGAAGAAAAATTCTGTTCCAAATGAGTGATCCATTCTGAGTATTAGGTAAATATTTCCTTTCCCAACATAAGTGTTTCCAGATCTACAGCATATTATTTTTTTTTTGGAAGACTGTACAACCAATTTTGGTCATAAAATGAAATGTCATAATAGTTTGACAAACTTCACCACAAAATCATCCTTTCTGAGGCAATGCAATAATTATATAGGTATGACCAGTGAAATTTAATTCCTTCTTAACATTCTGTTTTGTAATAATTTGATTTCAAGGAAAGTTTAATACTTCTGTTTGTTTAGATTCTGTGAAAGGAAATGCAAGTAATTTTTGTTTGTGATAGTCGCTAAGAAAGGTAGATAAATAAAAAGATTTTGAATAAAGGATCCTTTTGATTTCGAGTGCTCATAATATAAGAGAGAATAATACTTCCTGTCATTCTAATGAGCCAAATCATTTCAGAACTGTGAGGGGCTCGATGCAAAGGAAAGAACATTGTTTGGAAGAAATCGTTTTTTGATGTGCGCTTAATGAAGTAGCTAAAAGCCAAAATTAGAGGAAATTGAAATATTGAGATGTAGAGTTTGGCTTCTGACTATGATGATTGTGAGACAATAATGGAATGTGTTCCTGTCTGTGACTTAATAGGCACACTGAAATTCCGATTTCATATTCCCCCTTTAATGATGATCAACAGAAACTCCATTCAAGATTGTTATTTAGTGAGCGATGGAAGAAACATACATGAAGTTCTCAGTTACAGCCTTAGAAGACTTACGAATCCCAACTTTAAATTGAGATGATAGTGAAGATTTGCGCTTTAATTTCATGTCTACAGCAAGTTACAAAAAAAAAAAAAAAAAAAAAAAAAAAAACTCTTACAGACTGATATTTAACAAAATGAAGGGAACGGATCGATGACTATTGAAAAAGGAAAATGATAAGAACAATATTGACAATTCCTTTGTTGTGGTGCATATTTCCCCATATACATGTAGACATATAGATGTTGATTAATAAGCTCTGTTTTAAAAATCAGATGTAAATTCATATTAGAGAGGCCTTATTTATAATTCAGTAGTTTTTTTAAGAATTCTATGCTGTCTCAGGGATTGGCATAACTGTATTTGTATAAACTTGAGGAAGTATTAAATATGAATATTTGTAACTTATGGTAGTACAACTATAAGAATTCTAACTTCTGTTTAATCATGGTCAAACATGAATACAATATATTTGAGACAGTGAAAAGAAAGTTAAGGAATTATAACTTGTTTTATCATTAGAACCTGTTGGTTCACTTTTTTTCCTAAGGACCGAGTTACATTAGGATGTTGATATAATACAATCTCTGTCTCTTTTTTGATAATGTTTGATCTGATGAAGGTGAAATTTGATTTTTTGATAGAGAATTTTCGTGTACCCTTCAAAATGAAATGCATTGTAAACTTAAAGATCTTTATTCCTGGAAAAAGGAAATTTACATGATACTTGCAAATTGATTGCTCAATCACTGAGAAATCAATTCATTTGATGAAGTCAACAGGATTTAGTAATCAATGCATTTATTGCTCACTATGTGATTGTAATACTGTATATATGGGCATTTTTTTAATACTCCTGTCATTTGAGGACAATACTTGTGATAAAAATTACAGCAAGTTTAATATTTTTATTGCTGTGAAATTTAAACAAAGTTTTTAAACTTTTTAAGATGAAATGAAACTAAAGCATTTAGAATTTATTTTCATTTTACTCTTTCTTTGTTTGAATTTTTGATTTGATATAAAGCTAAACTTTAGAAGGACTTTCATTCTGAGAAACACTTAGAATTTCATTAATTTTATTATTATTATTTAATTTTTATTTCATTAGTTTTATTTATATTTTTATTTTTATTTTTTATTTTAAGAAAAATAAATTGTATCAGCGACTGACATGGCATTGTCTAAAATCTGATTTGTGATAAAAGGTTATTTTCTTATGTTTCTTTTTCATGAATCATGACAAAGTAATCCTTTTATCAGACATACTGATATAACAGAAAATATTCTAATAAATTCAAGTTTTTGCTCTTTAATTGTAAAAATATATGAACAATATCAGATGCCATGTATAATTAAATTTTACTTGTTGTCATGCATTGTGCATCAAATATCAAGAAACAACTTTTTGTATTGTTTACATGTATGTTATTAATTTATGCTTTATAGCAGTTGTTAATGGATGCCTAGTTATCATTGCTTTATTAATAATTTCTGGGAAATATGAAATGCAATCAAAATTTAATTATTAAATCAATTATATAGTATTATCATAGAAGAAAATCATTCATTGTTGAATCTATTTTTTCCTAGATACTTAGTGGTGTATCAAAATTTGCATTTTTGTAATATGAAATTTTTTAAGTAATTGAATTTCAGCTTTTTCTGTTGCTTCATTTTATTTGTATATGTATCTCTTTTTCTGCTTTAGGTTATGAGCGGTGCAGGGTTTCTATCACAACTTCAGGAATTTCCAAAAGATACTATAAATGATGAAGTTATTGAATTAATGGAACCTTATATTCATATGGAAGATTATACTTTAGAAACAGCTCAAAAAGCATGTGCTCAAGTAGCAGGTTTGCTTTCATGGACCCTTGCAATGGCTAGCTTCTTTGCAGTGAATAAGGAAGTCTTGCCTTTAAAAGTGAGCTTTTAATAAAAATATTTATTCTTCCCCCATTGGATTGATTAAAGTAAATAAAAAATTAGTAAAATAAAATTTTTTGAATTTAGGCTAATTTGGCCATGTTAGAAGCACAAAATGCTAAAGCTTCTAAAGAACTTGCAATTGCTCAAGCTGAATTAGATGAGAAGCAAAAAGAACTGGATGAAGTGAATGCTATATTTAATGAAGCAATGAATAAAAAACAGGTATCTGTTTATTGTATTTACCTATTTGCCATGTTTTCTGGTGGGGTTGAAAATTTGTAACTTGAAGCTGTGTGCGGGGAATATTTTTTTTTTTCCTCTGGAAAATCGCATTTCAGGAGAAATTGCTCATGGTAGGTAATTTGTTCTAAAATAAGAATAATACCTGGAAAATAAGAATAATTATTTATGCAATTTACTAGCAAATCGCAAATTTTTTGCATTTATATATCACTTATCTTTGTATGATATTTTGCCCTGTAAAATGATAAAATGTTGATTTTATCTCCTTTTAATGATTGAAAGTGAACTTCCATTTTTCAGTCAGAGTGTTGTTTCATTTTTAAAACTCCTACCAGTAATTTTGCTTAGAGAGTAATCTTTGCAATTATTCCAAAATTAGAAGACTATCATTGGGGAAAAAACTTATATTTTTTATTTGGTATTGAAAGTAACTGTTAAAAAAAAAAAAAAGATATTTTGGCTTAAATTCCAAAAGAAAGATAACAGGTAGTTTTAAAGGATGTATTTTTCAATCCTTATGCTTTCTGCCCTTTCATTTTGAATTTGCTGTCTTTACCAGTTGGATACCTATATTAACTTCCAAGTTTTTTGTTCATTCATTTGTTATTATCAAAATAATACTATTAGAAAAACAGCCTTACCAGCCAAGCTGTTAAGATTATAAAACGCCAATTGTCGCATCCTGTATCCTGTTCTTGGAGACAAAATAGACTGGTTGCATAAATGTTTGCACAATTTTTGTTTATCTGCAAATTATAAATGTAGGCTAATTTATATTAGAAAGTCAAATGTAAGTACATCTTTAAAATGCCTGACAGCCTTTAAATGCATTACAATCATAAATGAACTTGTACATACTATGTCCACATAAGTTCATACTCAATCTTTATTTTTGCAACCATTGGTAATATGTATATAATTCCAATTATAAAAATGTTTTAAATGATGCAAATATTCATATTTTGGCGTTTTAAAATTTAAAGTAGTCAGTTTAAAAAAAAATGTGTAATCTAACTTTTTATACATTTCTCTGACCCTTATATTAATATTTAGCAAACTTTTCCATTTATTATAAAAAAAACACAAAAAGTGTGTGACACCCATGCCATAAAAATTGTCCAAGACATTTTATATCAAATTCGGAGATCATATTCAGGATCCACATAGAAATTGAAGAGTAAAATATTTGCATTTGAACATAACTAAAAGTAAAATATCAGTTTGGTAAAAGGTTTTGGATGTTAAGAGATTTAGTGACAAGCATTTCTATGCAATGATATATATATATATATATATTTCAAGATGGAGATCTTATTCATGCAACATTATAGAATTCATGTTCGAGAAAATGCTAATATTGGCATGCAGCCAACTTGTAATACTACTTGCATTAATTCAAAAATGAAAAATATTAGCAGTTTAATGAATTTTTTGTTTAATTAAAAGATTGTGATTCTAAAGTAATAAAACTTCATAAAAATATTAATAACGTATTTTTAGACTTGTGTGAAAATTATTTTCCCATACCAAATGTAACAAAATTATAAATTAAAGGCACTAGCAATTCACAAATGAATACTATTAAATTATATTTAATTGGAAAAATCAAGTTTGAATTATTCTAATTTATATATTAACTGATTCCTCAATGCAAATTCAAAACATTAAAAATCACAAATTTTGAAATCAAATATTTATGTTAATTATATTTAAGTTTTTGTCATGCAGGAGTGAAATTGCTTTTTTGTTATCATGTTTTACTTTTTGCAATGAGTGTAACATTTTCCTGTTTATATATACAGAATTTATTGACACTGTAATTCCAGGTTTAAACTAAGGAAAGTAAAATAGTGTAATAACTACACTACAGAGCATGGGCAAAGCAGCATCTGAGGTCATTTTATGATATTGTTCTGATAAGCTATTTGTATTGCTTATCAGAACAATATTGATCTTAGGGTCTTAATTACCAACCCATCATGTTTTGGGGGTAATATAATTTTAAAACAAACAAAAAATGAATAAATAATTACAAAAGGTAGATCTACTTCATATGTTCTTATGTGTACAATTATGAAACATTATAACCATCATTCCAAAGCAGAATATTAATATAATTTCAAAATGGTTAACAGTATGCAAATTACCAAGTAATTAATTTTGAGGGGCATTGTGTTCTTTTTGTTATAAAAATATTTTAATTAATTCTTTCTGATATCCATTAGATTAAAATATTATTGATTTATTATAGCATGATGACTTTAACTGAGTTTCGTAAATCTATCAAAGTATACTATGCATTATTGTACTCATAGGTCTTCATATTCAAAATACAATAATTTCTGTGATGATGACCTCCTTAATGTGACTACTTCTCAGGGGCAGATGCAGTGCATAAGTGTGAATTTATATAAATCAGGAGATTAATATACAACTTTTTAAAAATATCTCGTGCACATGCATAGAAAAATTAATGACTCTAGGCTAAGGTCAAATGGAAAGACAAAAGATTAAGAGGAACAGCTTGGGAATATTTCATTCATTCCTGCACAGTGGATGCAGTGTGATAGATGAATGAACTCTGGCATAGAACTGAAACTGCATGGACTATGAAATCCACAACTGAAATCCAAAGTCTGTTTGACTAGCTGTATAGTGGCTGATATTTTTGCCAGAGGCAGATACTCTGGATACAGTTTTTTGCAAATTTTGTACCTCAAAATTTCCTGACATTTTAATTATTTCACTCTTTTCATTATAATGTATATGCCAGTTTGTTAATGGCTTTCTCTTGTGAAGTAGCAATTTTAATAGCCAGCAGAAAATATTTGCAATGCTAAATAAAGCTGTTGAAGTTAAAATGAAATTCAAATGATTTGAAAAGCATATCTTTCAGATATAAGCCCCAAAAGTTTTATAAAAGTGTTCATAAATATAGAATTAAAATTAATTTCATAAAGAAGTTAGATATTTCTGAATTTAATTCTGTTTTCTGGGCAAAGTATTTTCTGGGCTGATGATGAATGTGATGCTAGTGATGTGTACAGGAAAATGTGGTTTGATTTGAAAAGAGAATGATTGCTGTTTTTCTTCTAATGAAATTATGATACTGTCATTAAAAAACTAAAGTAAAACAAAACTTCTGGACCAGATTTTCTGCCAAGTGAAGTCTTTCAACATCTACATTAAGTGAATTATTGTGTTTTGCAACCCTTATTACCTGTATTGGATTTCAGTAGTTGAAAAAGTTGGCTGTTTTTCAGTACTGTCAAAGAAAGCATCTGTTGTTTTAATTCCTAACTTCCTAATCCTTTGATTCAAGTTTCTGCTTTTAAATAATTTTTGGCTCATTAGTTTGTTTTCTTAAGGAAAATGCCTTGAAACACTCTTTATTAATAGCATCAACTGACCCTTGAGGGAAAATTGTTCCTTTTACAATGCACACTTTAGATTTGTTGCTCAGAAATCAAATCAGAATGCCCCCCCTTTTTTTTTTTTTTTTTTTTTTTTTTTTTTTTTTTTTGGTTGTTGTTGTTGTTGTTGTGAGGAAGTACAGGATGCTTTTGATCATGCTTGTTTACCATATTTTACAGGAGGCCGAGATATTTATATAATCCTTAGAAAGCATCTTAATTGAACCAACAAATGATCTTGTTCTTGGAATGGAACAGATTAGATTTGATTTATGGGATTGTAGCAAAACACACTATGGCTATCTGTCTAAAGGGAAAGAGGCTTTTACGAAGAACTGGAAACTGGCACGTATTTCACGTTATACTTGGGGGAAAAATTTAAAGTCTCCCAAATTATATCTGTAGTGGTTCTCTGCTTCATTACATTTATTGAAAAATACTTTGGGCACAGGAAAATTATAATCATTGAGTCACTTTTGAGTATGCGCTTTCTCAAGGGTAGTTTGGTAGAGTTTACAAAATTGAAAGAGCCAGCTTTTTAGCTTAAAAACGCTTTTAATATATTAGAGTTATGTGCTGTATGATACTCAAAGCATCATTCTTTCAGTTCCAATAGCTTTTGGAAGGAATATTTTCAGAAAAATTTCATTGTCAAATGGAACGAAGATTTTATCTAGTAAAACTCTTTCTTTTTTACTAAATTAAAAAGTGCATAGTTTATTTCTGTCTCTGATAACTTTGCTAAAAATTTGCATAAGTTTAATATTTAGTCAAATCATCTGTGACTGCTCAAAAAAAAAAAAAAAGAGAGAGCCACAAGATGTGAAAAATTTGATTTTCTTCTGCCCTGCTTTTAATTTCCCCACTCAGAACAACTTGACAAGTTTTGTTGAATCTTGGTCAGTGAAATTTGGTATTTTCGTGAAAAGTAGCTTTTCACAAAAAATTTCTCTCGTGTGAATCTGTAAAATACTTGTAGTCTAACTCAACATGGATCTCATGTTGTACTGACTTGGCACATAGCAGTGGTGTGCTGTCAATGGACTAGAAGGGTTAGGCTAGTCCCTATATTTTACATATTAATATTTTCAATCATATTTTTACCTAATATTCAAAAGCATTTAAAGGGACATCCTTTTACCTCTTTTGAAACTGGGTATAGTCAGGTTTTCGTGGCAATGGGAAGGGGCTTGTGTCTTATGGTGACTTCCTATATGTTTTTACCACCAATCCTCGAATTCCATATCACAGATTTATGTTCCTACTGCATTGATATAAATATTAACGAGACATAGTGGACAATAAAAATTAAGCTTTATTTCGGAACTTCGCGCACACTGCCCGACAGCCTGCCTGTTTCGATCTGCTCGCTACTCGTAAGAAACTTCTCCTCTAGGGTTGCCACACTTATCGTAGGGCACAAGGCGCGCTCCTTATCGCCATCACCACAGAGTTTCCCCCCAGTTCCTTTAATGGCTATTCAAAGGAACGACATAGGTTATGAAATTATCTTAGAGGATCCGTACTGTCGGGTATTTTTTACATGATTACAAAATTAGAATATAA